AAAATGTCTTCTCAATTAATCAATTTCATTGATTATTGACATCTTATTGTTGTACTTACAGTCACTTGAGTTTCTTAAAAGTTGCAATTTGACTTTTAATTAGGCCCAAAATGATAATACTGCAATGTCTAATTAGCTCTCGAGGGGTATTGGTTAGACTATTTATCTCATTTCATTCCATTCACCATGAAAACAAAACTCTAAAAAACAGTCGACAATTAATGACAAATATTGAGCCTAGGGCAGGGTAAAATTGATGAATCAAAAGTGTTGAACTGAAAGTGGACGCAGTTGACATAATACTGAAATTTCTGAGATGAACAAATACAGTACATATATCAAAAAGTTCAATTGTACCAATAATACTTTACACATTCACACTGGGACTTTACACATTCACACTGGAACTTTACACATTCACACTGGAACTTTACACATTCACACTAACACTTTGCTAGGTTTATCCTAATCTTTATTAAAATACTTTCCGGGAATCAGATTTTAATTGACATCTTCATTATTCCTAATCTTCATATTGTAATCGTTCACATGCATCAATCTTCAACAGAATCAACGAGACATCATGTCAGAAAGACAAAAACTAAAATTAAGCTAAAACTATATATATTAACTTCACATGTAAACCTTAAAATTAGCATAGCTGTAGAGTTCCCGTACGATTTCATACTCTGGCCTTTGGCCGTTGGGGTACTTATAAATTATCTCCGATCAGAAATTTGAAAGAGCTAGACCTACAATAGCGCGGACAGTGACAGATATTTTAAAGTAAAATCGATATATTACCCAGACAGATTCCTAGATCTATTCACGGTAGCGTAAGTAGTACAGTACAATATTACGGATAAGTTTTTTTTCTGGTTAATTTCCGATCTGTTGGGCCACTGACAGAAGTGACTGCGATGAGACCATTATGAAACGATCATTCCAAAATAAATCCATTTCAAAATACTGAAATACTTTACGGAAGCAACAAAAATGTGCTAGATGCTTACATAACATTTTTCAAATGCATACTGCTTCAAGGGAAAAGTCTTGAAAATATTTTGAAAAAAAAGTGCTATGGCGGCAGTGCCCAGCTTGCGCGTCGCCGTCAAGCCTAAATTCAATAGACGCGAAGGCTCATTCCAAATGAATTGTTGCAAAAAATGCAATTGATAGTTCAGTATAAGTATTGACTTCAAATTCAGCTAACATATATATATATATATAAAGATACTTACCTACATGAATTACCCGCCATCTTCTTTCAGCCGCCGTCTTCTTTCATGAAGGGTCCAGCAGCACAGTGCACCCCGGCTGTTTCCGTCAAAATTTTATGCTACTCTAAATCATTCTTATTTTAGTTTCATTTTTATTTTCAACTACATATATCAGTATTTTTAATAGTTATCAACAGTATTAAACGGGAAGTAAATTTTCGAAAAAAGAAAAATAGAAAGATATACAAATGTATATGACTCCCACAATGCATCGCACGGAAAAGAAAGTTAAGCCGCCATATTGGCATCGCCTCGCAAAATTTACCACCATAAACGTGAGTCTTTGTCATTGTATTTACAAATTTCGATGTCTGATTATCATTAATACACAACACAAAACATTTTCTTGATGTACAGGTAATGAAGAAAATGTCGATAAGGTTGTTTCATTTAATGACTAGCATCAGCAACTTGTAGGGGCGATAATCCAATGATTACGGTAATGTCCGGCAGATGGAGTAGGAGTAAACTTTCGATTTATGAACCAATGAAAACGAAGTACTGATACTCAGCCTCAGGGGCGATAGCAACATGCTGAAGAGCATTGAAAATGCTCTTAGCATAAAAAGTAGATTTTGATAAGGATGATACCTATGTAAATCTTTATTTCAATCTTGTTTTGTCACAGTTCAATCAATTTGAGCTAGAATCCAGATTTTGTTGATGTGTATTTTCTTAGTTGTAATGGAAAATATAACACAAACACATCAATACAGGACATATCAACTTACTTGCTGTTGCGTTCACCATTGTAGAGAGCCGAGAGGTTTGGCATTTGGTCACTTCGGACAGTGTCCACTACAAATACCGTGGCTTTCTTAGACATCGGGAAAAACAGCCCAAACATAGACTTTGTCCCACTACAAAAATGAAATGAAAATATGATATCTACAGATCAATTCATAAATTTTGTTTCATCTTTCTTAATTTTTCATACAGAAATCTTCACCTTCCCTTTCATAACTTTAATGTCAATTCTTCATATTTATAAAATTTCAATTATCACAGTGAAATGTTCACCTAACAAAATCATTACAGTGAAACCTTCACCTTTCTAAATAAGTACAGAAGAATTACAGTGAAATCTTTGTAATTCCCCAAACATCTACTTCTTCTTGAAATAATCAAGAAATAAAAATAATATCAAACTATCTGTTGAGTTTCATGTGCTTGCTGTAAAAACTGGAGATTTTTAAATAATAAACGTCAGGTGTCTCCTACACACACAAATACATGTTTTCCTCAACACCTATCACCACATTTATTAATTAACAAATTATTACAAGCAGTGAGTCTAGCAAAATTCTAAATTTAACATTTTCAGGTAAACAGAATATGCTAATAAGTGACATTTTTATTAAAATAGTGTAATATTTAAAAAGAATACTGAGAATGTGATGATTTGGGAGACATCTACTTACCAGATGTGGTGATACAGATACAGATGTTTGATGGAGCCAGGTTCTAAGTAAGTAAACTGGGCAAGTGTGCGAAAGTCAAGGTTCTCCATGTCAAACGTATCCGTCTCCTGAAACAACAGGTAACAGTTGTAAATCATGTACTCATGGCCATTTTACATACATAGTAATTCATGTATTTATCACCTCAACCCCACTTTGTCCTACATATATATATGACCTTAGCCCCAATTTGTCCTATTTGTATATATGACCTTAACCCCACTTTGTCCTATATGTATATATGACCTTGACCCCACTCTATCCTACAAGTATTTATCACCTCGACTCCACTTTGTCCTACATGTATATATGACCTTGACCCCACTTTGTCCTGTGGCAGGACACATTAATCTTACTGCTCTGGATGGTATATGGTTGGACTCCCAATTGTAGTTCAATAGAAAGCCGCCACCTACTACACAGAGGCCCCACTTATATTGACCCTGGCTGTTTACAGGGAGATAACACAGCAAACAAACAAACCACTTCTATACCCTTCTAAATATATATCTATGACCTTGAATCTCTCCTATTGACCCTGCATACTATAATTTTGTGACCTTGACCCTCACTTATTGATTCTGTTTACTATAATTTTGTGACATTAACCCTCTCTTACTGACCCTATATGCTATAATTTTGTGACCTTGACCCTCTCTTACTGACCCTATATACTATAATTTTGTGACCTTGACCCTCTCTTACTGACCTTGTAAATTATGACCTTGACCCCAAATATTTACTGTGTTTACTAGTTATGCATGACTCACCCTGCCAGACATGTACTTGGCAAAGTCGCGGTTGACAGTAGCTACACATCCTAGACGTACAAGGGCACGGAACTCTAAGGGCACTTGAGTCTCATACACACCCTCAATGTCTGGGGATGACAGATCCGCACTGATCTCACTGGGAAGGAATAACTTTGTTATCAATTTACTGTATGACAATTTCATTGATTACTTAGGAAGGAACCTATAATAACAACATGATAACCTGTATCTGTTGTAACTATCGATTTTATAGACAATTAGAGGTAAAACAATTCAGTATCATTCTGCATGAAATGTTTCATTTACCAGTTTTTAATTTGAAAGATTAAAATTTTGTACAAAATGCCTGTTCAAAAATCAAAAACAGTAACTTCATAGAGAACTGTAAGATGTTCAGAATTTCCATCTTTCAAAGGTAAATCTTTAATTCAGAGTTACAGAGTCTGAGGATCTCTTACTTGATGTGTTCCTGATAGACGTCCTCAGGTACGCTGTACTCGTACAAGTTAAACACAGGGTGGGACCGTGGTAGTGTCTTTATCACCTTCCTCCACACTGTAACATGAGAAGCATACATTTTCATTACCAGACTTCTGAACTGTGACTTTTGATTTTTGATTATTTTCTATCGATGGAAATTACACAGTTTTTGTTATCTATATTATTGAATAGGTTCAATAAACCCAATCTGATCAATCATAACCTCATTAGGACATTCTCTTCTGATCCCTGACCTTTGACATAAATCCATGTAAACCAATCTTAACCTCAATAATACATTCTTTTCTGACCCCTGATGACTTCTAACATAAACCAAAGTTGATCAATCATGACCTCATAGGTACTTACTGACCTATGACCTATGACATTTAACCAGAGTTTTCTGACTTAAGACATATAAACTGGCAGAATACCTGAACTTTGAACCCTAATACCTAGAATGTCTATAGCATCCTTAGTTATACTTACGAGCACCTTCACCCTCCTTTGGCGACTTCTGATTGACGTAAAAGATACGAGGTACATTAAGTTTCATAGCGTGGAGATCACTGCCGATTAGCGCCCATAACTTGAACTGACCCGGGTAGCTAGTCTCCATAAGCTTAAATACAGAAACGGTTCAATTGTATTATCGTCATAACAAACAGTGATAGCAGTACATCTGTCATTTATGAATAAAAGAGTGTATTTTTTATTTCTAACACTGATCTGACTTTTGAAAGGCCATTGACAGAGACCTACACGTTTGTTGTTCTAAGTATCTCAATTTCACCACAAGATCACATCATGAATATTGAACTTGAAAATTTTAATTGGAAAATTGTCATATCACAAATTTGTAATTATGTAATTATGGTTGTTCAATGGCAAATATGACATCATTTAAATATGATATTCCAGAACCAAATACTGTGAACTATGACAAAATGAAGCAGTAATATGTTTGTATGAGTTGAATACAGTGTGCCTGTGTGGTAACATTCTGTACCTGTACTATTTGCCAAGGCATATCCATAATACTACGAGCTGTTCTGCGCAGAAATCCTCCTAAACCGGTGCGACTACTGACAGCCCGACCTGAGGGAGCATCACCAAAGTCAATTCTTCTTCGTTTCCGATCCTGTCTGTCCTTTGCCTGTAGTTCCCATTTTTTCTTGTGGTACTCGAGCCAGACTGCACGCTCTTCCTATTTACAGTAATATTATTTGATAATTAAAGACATTTTAACATTGAGGTGGAAATTATTTCAGGCAATGCAGTCATCAAGATCTCCCACCCATGTTCTTTTGTAGAATATTTACATTTAAAGTTAACTACATGGAAAACTTAAGTAATGAAACCATTGATTGTTTACGTAAAGTTCAAGTTCTGTTGAAAGTGACCAATATGATAACAACTTAGTAACAAAATACTGTGAGTATTAAAATCAGCTGATCATACCTTTAATTTCCGTTCTTTTATCCAACGGTAATGATAGAATGTCACTTAATTTCAGTGACACTGGATCAATTAATGATTCTATTACCACTCAAGTATGACAAAACATTGAGATTTATACACATTAGTAAAATACAATACAGCATCTAATTGTCAGAAAGCTACTATAAGTAAAACAGATCATATCTGGTGAAAGTGCATCATCACTTCGAACATTAGAAAAAAACATTTTAGAGATTCCCTATTATAAGTTTATTAAGACATTTCACCACCTGGTGAAAAGACCTATTGTTAATGTTCTGTTTCCTATTATTATTATTCTTTTTCAATGATTCTGTGGCAAATCTGAATTGGTAACTGATATGTTTATAGTCTTTTAAAAGTCTCTTACTATTACTTCAGAAGATATTCAGGTCACAGCTGCCTCATCACATATATAGGAATCAGCTGATAATCACACTTAAGAGTGTGGTTTAGTCTGCTAAGCAAGTCTCTTATAAAATATGATCATTCCTTCGAAAGAAATGTGGAAAGAGATCCTCCAGACTGTTTCAAGGAATCATCCAATCAGGTAAGAGTACCATGATTAAATATACATGGAATTCACTGTTGATCAAATTTGAGTGAGGAGATTATGTAATAAGTTTACAAAGTAAGTCTCATCTAAATTCATTTGTTCCTTCAAAAGATACCGAGCCTTCAATAAGGGTGCTGAAAGATTTCAGTCATTCAAAAGATACCGAGCCTTCAATAAAGGTGCTGAAAGATTTCAGCCATTCAAAAGATACCGAGCCTTCAATAAGGGTGCTGAAAGATTTCAGTCATTCAAAAGATACCGAGCCTTCAATAAGGGTGCTGAAAGATTTCAGTCATTCAAAAGATACCGAGCCTTCAATAAGGGTGCTGAAAAATTTCAGTTAATCAGGTTATAGCAGCTTCATTAGGCATGTGCTGAATTTACCAACAATCAAACTTGAACAAGGGGTTAAGGTAACAAGTTAACCAAGCAAGTCTCATAAAAATCTGACCAGTCCTTCAAAAGATATCATGGCTAAAGCAGCGTCCGGATGGACGGAAGGACGGACAGACGGAACCCATTTGAATATCCACCCTCCAACTTTGTTGAGCAAGGGATAAAAAGACTACTTGCCAATTATTGTTGATAGTTACTATTCAAATTCAGAAAAAAGTTATTTTAACAGAGCAGAAAGTTGTGAATGAATCATTGGTATTTGGTGATTGGTATTAGTGAAGAATAAATGTTCTGAATATTACTGGAAGATGGATTTTGTAATTGACTGTTTTACTCTGTTGCAGACTGTTCATGTCACCCCCTACCTCCAGGAAAAAAAGATCATAGAAATTAAGAATAGGTTCCTTGACATAAGAATATTATTTGATCTACCTTTGTTTAACCTATAGAGAGTGCCATCCCAAATATTTCTCAACATGTCTGTGAACTCTCCAGTAAAAGTGACTCTTTCTGACTATTGTCTGCATTACAACACACATAAAACATTGAGTAATTAAGATAGCTAACCTTTGTTTTACCCATAGGTGGTGCTGGCCCCAATATTTCTCGCCATGTCTGTGAACTCTCCAGTAACTGTGACTCGTTCTGACTGTTGTCTGTGTTGTCGAGACTTGTTCGTTTCCGTTTGTGTGCTACGGCCATTCCAAGTCCAGGTTTGGAATGTGATTTACCTCCCACATCCTCTATATCGACAGAGTTCTGTGGTTCACTGTCTGGGAACAGTTCCTCGGAGGATTGCTAAGGACACAAAAATTTGTAAAAAAAGTTAATTGCCAGAACATAAGATTAGTTTACATTTCTAAAGATAATGGGTTTTGTCAAATAGAAATGATAAGAGAAGATTACAGTCTAGTGATCGGTTAAAATCAATACCGAATCAACTGTTAAAATCTGATAGGCTTTTTGATAACTGATTCATTTACCTGTGTCTATATTTACCTGGGGTTTCTGTATCAGTTGACCGATTCACTGATCTGTATCTATATTTACCTGGGGTTTCTGTAACAGTTGACCGATTCACTGATCTGTATCTATATTTACCTGGGGTTTCTGTAACAGTTGACCGATTCACTGATCTGTATCTATATTTACCTTGGGTTTCTGTATCAGTTGACCGATTCACTGATCTGTATCTATATTTACCTGGGGTTTCTGTAACAGTTGACCGATTCACTGATCTGTATCTATATTTACCTGGGGTTTCTGTCGTTGAGTTGGAGCAAATATCTCGCTGATCTTTTTCTGTTTGAACACATCGTTACGCTCCAATAACTTTTTGTGTAGCCAGTCAGGATGACGGATTCGAGGGACTGGATTGGCAACCTGAAAAGTCACAGTTAGGTCAAAAAGTTATATCGATTTAATACCATGTTAAACCACTGGATCTGAAAACAGTTCTATCAAAAGCAACTTTTCCACTTCTGTATAGTAAGGATGCTTTTTTCCACGATGACTCAAATTTCGATGGTTGAATCAAAAGTTGGAAGCCAAATACTATTTTTTTTTCAGAAGTGCATTTTCAAAGTATCAATTGTTTAAGAGTTTTTTCCGTCCTTCAAAACAACTGCAAAAAATAAAAGCACATGAAAGTAGTACTTGTTACAAGAATATAAAATGTATTTGTTGTTTGAAACGTTATTTAAATGCTATGTTAATAAATAGTACCAATGTGAACTAGCTGTGCCAGTACTCGACAGGCAGATTTTGTATCAATATTTACCATTTGTAGAGCTGCTGGGATAGTAATGATCTTCATAACAGACCCACCAAGTCGTTCTACATAGTACTCCCAATCAAGGATCTGAACGAGAAAAAAATAATTTCATCAACATAATTTTCTTGCGCAATTTGTCTGCAATATTTGTGAATTAAATTTGTTAATTGTAAGTGTAATGACAAGATATCTTACAAAAGTGAAAATTTTCTTTATCAAATTGCTATTTCTTTAGAGGCATATTGTTAATGAAACATACACAAATACCACTAAATTCTTCAATGTATTGAAAGTATTAAATGTATTGAATTTTATAAAAACAAAAATTTAATCCAAGCTGAAGTTAATTATTCCTGAAGCTTGCCTCTCGGATTTCAAAATCATTAGCAGCAGGACTCTTCAGCCATTTTCTCAGATAATGTTTCCGGACACTTGGCTCCGCTTGGAAAATTGCAAGAGGTATTGCTCTGTAAGAAAAACATTACATTATAGTGTTTTTACTCATTATTAGAAAAATGTAACCTGTCTAAACAGACTAGTACTTTAGTGTCACCTGTCTAAACAGGCCAGTACTTTGAAGTGTTACCTGTATAAACAGATCAGTTCTTTGTAGTGTTACCTGTCTAAACAGGCCAGTACTTTGTAGTGTTACGTGTCTAAACAGGCCAGTACTTTGTAGTGTTACGTGTCTAAACAGACCAGTACTTTGGAGTGTTACCTGTCTAAACAGGCCAGCACTTTGAAGTGTTACCTGTATAAACAGATCAGTTCTTTGTAGTGTTACCTGTCTATATAGGCCAGTACTTTGTAGTGTTACCTGTCTAAACAGACCAGCACTTCACATAGTGAACACTGTATAAACAGACCAGCACTTCACATAGTGAACACTGTATAAACAGACCAGCACTTCACATAGTGAACACTGTCTAAACAGACCAGCACTTCACATAGTGAACACTGTCTAAACAGAGCAGCACCTCACATAGTGAACACTTTCTAAACAGAGCAGCACCTCACATAGTGAACACTGTCTAAACAGAGCAGTACCTCACATAGTGAACACTGTCTAAATAGAGCAGCACCTCATATAGTGAACACTGTCTAAACAGAGCAGCACCTCACATAGTGAACACTGTCTAAACAGACCAGCACTTCACATAGTGAACACTGTCTAAACAGAGCAGCACCTCATATAGTGAACACTGTCTAAACAGAGCAGCATTCTTTACACTATTTTGAAGCTCATTTTAAACTTGTGTTGATAATGTGTTTATAAAATACCTTTCAGTGACCGGGGCACCATCTGGTTTTTTGGAGATGACATAATTACAGCTGACACCGGCATCTTTAACCATCTGGTCACCAAGAAACTGAAAGTTCAAAGACTATCATAGTTAAAAGATCACCAAGTATTACCAAGAACTGCCGATCAAATGTTATCAGAGTTCACAAATCACAAGGGATTACCAAGAACTGCAGGTCAAAGGTTATCAGAGTTCACTAATCATAAGGGATTGCCAAGGAACTGCAGGTCAAAGGTTATCAGAGTTAAAAATCACAAGGGATTACCAAGGAACTGCAGATCAAAGGTTATCAGTGATCACTAACCACAAGGGTTTACGAAGGAACTGTTAGGTTAAAAGTTATAGGAATTCACAAATCACAAGGGGTTACCAAGGAACTGCAGGTCAAAGGTTATCAAGAGTTCAAAAATCACATGGGATTACCGAGGAACTGTTAGGTTAAAGGTTATCAGTGATCACAAATCACAAGGGGTTTCCAAGAATCTGCAGGTTAAAGGTTATAAGAATTCACAAATCACAAGGGATTACCAAGGAACTGCAGGTCAAAGGTTATCAGAGTTTACAAATCACATGGGATTACTGAGGAACTGTTAGGTTAAAGGTTATCAGTGATCACAAATCACAAGGGGTTTCCAAGAATCTGCAGGTTAAAGATTATAAGAATTCACAAATCACAAGGGGTTACCAAGGAACTGTTAGGTTAAAGATTATCAAGAGTTCAAATATCATCAATGTATAGTAATAAGGGATGTGATAAAATGTCAAAATTTCAAATACAGAACACAATGAAAAATATTTAATAATCGTAATTTCATAATCCAAATAAATCCAACGAAAATTATGAAATTTATAAAAAAATGTAATTTTTGATGTATGTCAATGATTTTGATATTTTTTGTATTTTAATTAGCAAACTTATAAAGGCCAAACTCAATAATTAAAATATCATTTAAAACATGACATTGATTTCTTGCCTCTGCCAATCTTCTTGCTGTACTGATAGACGTTGACTTCTGGGAACCATAATCCTCTAACGTTCTTGACATCCTTCTTTTCTCGGCAATCAATTCAAAAAGTTCTGAGTCTGGCATATTGGCAGCCTGTTTGAGGAAATTTTTGAAAGCGTTAGTTATTTTGAAACATCTCCGATTTCCCTAGTATTGCTGATAATATTGCTACATGTTACAGTGATATGGAGATTCTGTAGCTATCAGAGCAGCATAACAATTTCCTAAAATTAGTATAAGACACACTGATGTTTAACCTTAAAACTTAAATCCATCGTTGGCAAAGTCAACTTCAGACTTTTCACTAACACTCCTTATGGTTGTTCTCTTGAGATTGGCTTTTTCTTCCTTTTTTTCCTTCTTTTTATTTCCTTATCTGATTTTATATGTTTAAAATTTCTTTTTTTTTCATTTACATAATGGATATTTTGAAATCAACATTATAGCAAATTAAAGATCTTTTTGATCTTGAAAATTAAGAAAGAAAATATAATAGATTTTATATAAAAATTGATCCAGTTCACCTATCAGAAGTCTGTTTTAGTCATTTACCAGTTATAGAATTTAAATTTATTTGAAGAATACAGATGTTTTACATAAATTCTCACCTTACTAAAGAGGACGTCCAGCCAGTAGTCAGCGACCTTGGCGACGGCTGCGTAACATGCTTCCAGTGTATCGCCCTTTAAGAATGCCTCGAACACAGAGGACTGAAAAATCTTGATCAGTTCTAACTCGCCGTTTCTCTTCACTTCAAATCCCTGTCGAAAACAATTGGCATCATATAAGTATATCTGTATGTTTTAATCCCAGTAATAAAGAAATATGTAACCTGTTAGATAGCAAAGCTGCTCACTGGTGGCATAACCCGAGTGTTCATTATAACTGCTGATTCAAAGTTGAAGGGTTACAGCACAGTGAAATATATTCAACTGCAACATACTGTATATAATACTGAAGTACTTGATTTGGTACAAATTTACGTGTTTGATCACTTTTTGGTGATTTGGTTTGAAGATAAATTTAAACCTATGTAATAATTATTTTTTAAACAATATATAGAAATTGCAATTAAACAATTATATTTTTGCGAAATATCTTCAGTTAAAAAACCCTGCTGAAATATGATTACTGTTAAATCATAATGGGTGGCTTATTACCCAGTATGGGTAGTGGTAATTTAGTCCCAGCAATCATAGATATTATTACAGTACAAAGTGATAGATTTATTGGGATTTTTTTTTCCTTAACATAAAATGTTCTTACATCTGCTGATACCAGGGAAATACTCTCTCTTTTAGAATTTCCCTTCCAGTCCTCCTTACCTTAAGTTCAGCAAGAGAACCATCAAAATTGAAGACTGCGTATCGCTTTTTCAGTTTTTTGCCTTCTTCCTTTGATGCTGGGAGAATCATAGCAAGATAGGGACCATCGACTTCAAAAAAGATGGAGTTCTCACTACGCACTGAATACTGGAGTTTGTTGGGGTCCACTAGCTCCTGGTATTGGTCGTTGGTGAAGAATTCCTGTACAATAAGGATAGAGTATGTCAATAAAGGTACCATATTACACCAATGATTCCATGTCAAAGGCAAAAAAATTGAAGAATCTCTGTCCTGATCTAAAATGATAAAAAAATTAATAAATTAGGAACTAATTGATACAGAGAGTCTTACATCCATCACAATATTTATGAAACAAAAGTCTTAAAATTTTTCATTTTTCCTCTGACCAGGTCATACAAATTTTTTTTAGCAAGATAATAAATCTCATATGAAATGGAAAAGAATGGAAGATTCTGTTTATCACAAAAATTAAACACTTTACTAAATTCATGAAAACATTTCATAAGACTGATACAAAATCTGAATTTTCACTCCAGATCACAATGAGTAAGACTCCATCACATGACCAAAAGAAACTTAGTCAATCACAGTAACACTAAGTCAAATTACTGTAATATCATATTTTTTTGTGGGGTTCAAATTTTATGGTTTTTAAAAGACATAATTTCATGAAGAATTCTTGTTCTCATAATCACTAATACTTCAATCAATTTTAATCTAATTGTCATTTCATGGAAATTTCTGAATTCAAAAGTACACATGCCTTCAATGAAAATAAATCTCCCACAAAAATCAACCATTTTACAGTATATTCATAACAAAAACTGTGGGACATGACACAGATAACACTGTGGTCATGTGATCTAATGTGTACTTCAGTTAAACTAATGAGTAGCACTCATCTTAAACACAACCGCATCCACAAGCCTAGACTAATAACAGGATGACCTCTTATGACCTCCAGAGGTTTTGAAATACCTGGCCATGAAACATTGTTGAAGGATCTTTAAACCCATGACCTGATTTTTTTGATGAGAAAGTTTTTCATTCCATGGCTATGAAACCTCATTTTCTCAAAAAGGAATTTTTAAACCCCTCAAAACCTGGTTTTTCTCAGAAAGGATTTTTAAACCCCTGGTGAAGAAACCTTGTTTCCCCATCACTTTACCTATCTTGGTGTAACATCTGATGAAGAAACCTTGTTTCTCCATCACTTCACCTATCTTGGTGTAACATCTGGTGAAGAAACCTTGTTTCTCCATCACTTTACCTATCTTTGTGTAACATCTGGTGAAGAAACCTCGTTTCTCCATCACTTCTCCTACCGTGGCTAATCTAACCATGTTGTTACTATTACAGCCACTCACCTTGACCATGATATTAAGCATGGCACCTGGGTAAGAAATGGTCACTTTAGACTTCTTGGGGTTTGTTGTCTTCAGCACGTAGTTTTCAGGGAAGGTTGCAGGTAACACACACCAAATACCATCAGTGTCTAACTCCAACGGACGCCTGCAATATCAATACAGCATACATTTGTCTGAAATTTTCATCAACTGCATAAATATCTGCATCGAACCTGATTTTACATTTTTTCAATGAATGTGAATACTGAAATGATTACAAGATACCATGCTGAATATATGTTCCTTCATTTATCTTTGAAATATTATATTCATTAAATAGTAACCTTTACCAAATAATAAACATGTCCTTTAATAAGCCCACCCCAAACTTATCCGTTTGAGTGACTTTGGTCCACTCAGCTTACTGTAGGATATATTTGTGTTTACAATGATATGTAGGAAAACAGTTTTAATAAGCCCACCCCAAACTTATCCGTTTGAGTGACTTTGGTCCACTCAGCTTACTGTAGGATATATTTGTGTTTACAATGATATGTAGGAAAACAGTTTTACCCGATCTGTTCAACAATCTCCTTCGCTTTGGTGATGATGTGTGCACCAGTATAACACACAACTCCCGCCATTTCCATACTGTACCAACGTGCTCTGAAATAATGGTAATAATACAATTAGTGTCAGGCCTAACTTGTATATATTAATATTCTGTGAATTCAGCTTCTTCAGACTTCACCTTCTTAATATCATGATATTAATTTAACTACACAAGTTTCACAGACTGCCAGTCTTTTACTGAACCATGCAAATATACATCTCCTAGCAAGGCTTGGACTAAAATATCTGCCACTTCCTTAGTTATGATGACGGGAAGATATTGTCAGCATAGGGAGATCTCAAGAAACATTCTAAAAAGTGATATTGCTTTTTTCATCTGAACAACAATCTTTTTTTTCAAACTGCACTGTCAGTTTTACAATATTTTTGTTCTTCTGTGAGTTTAAACTTTTGTGATATTCCACAAATGTACCTTTCAAAATACAAAGACATTTAAGCATGAATTATCAATTCTAGGTATTTCGAAAACCTTGTAAATTCTAAGCTTCAATTGATATTCAGACATCAGAACAAACACTCCATAGAATGATGGTTTTACAATTTTCTAATTAGTCAAAAATTGTTTCCAAGATAAGGAGGAAACTGATGTAGAAAATATCAGTAAAATTTTGATACCTTTACTCTATAACAAATTATATGAATGTTATAGTCCATGGACTCTTATCACACATGATACAGAGAAAACTATTTATTTTGAGGGTTCTTTGCCAAAATGCAGGTTTCTGAGAATTATGAAAATCCCTGTCATCAAAAATGATTATTTGCCATTTTTCTTTACAGAATGATGATCTTGGAACTATGAAATACCATTTCATAGAAGTTTTATTTGCCTTCATATGAATTTATATCGAAATCCTCGAAGATGTCTATTAGAGTGTTACATCGACTCAACGCTGAGAAACTGGAAACAATCTATACCAACCTATAAAACAACAGAAATGTTAAAAACTAGAAATCTTTAAGAATGAATATTTACCTAGTAAAAACTTACCCTTTTCTCATCACATAGCCATAAAAGGAGTTGAGAATACACTTGTGGGCGAGCTGGAGTGAGTCGTACAAAACCACCATACCATTAGCACGCTTGATTTCAGCTGCATCTTTAGATTCCTCCGCCTCTGCTAATTTTCTCTTCCACACTTTCACAAGACCTTTAAATTCATAGCGTCTGTCTCGGAAATCTCTCACAGTGTCGACGTAGAAAGAGTTTTCCCGTTGACAAATGGTGGCAGTTCTTTCTTCCATTTTCGTGGAATGTACTTTCTTATAAGCCTTCTTACAATAGTCTGTAACAAAGTTATATAAAAATTGCTGTAAAATCATCAATTTTTGTAGGGGGTTATTTTCTCTGATGGGTACTCGTTGTACATTGATTATTTGTATGTCCTTGAACTAATATCACCTATTGAGCTATACTTACCCAGGAAAACAAACGTTCATGAAAAAGTGACATTTTGATAAAAAACTGAGTCACATGAAAATACAGTTGAAACTCCTTATCTCAAAATCACAGATCTTGTAGATCCTGTTTACTTCTAAGTATTTCGTTGGTACTGTCCAAACTTCACACTAAACATTCAAACTGATTTAAATCAAATACTTTGATAACTTGAGGTTTTCCTAAATTCCGGCCAACTTCGAGGTAACAAGGTTTGACTGCATATCATTTTCCTTAAGATTTAATGTGATATTTACTTGAACTTCATTTGAACAAAAATCTAAATTATGTATCAAAAACTATTCCCTGGAATATACCTACCAGCCAATCTTTTCTTTTCAATGGTGGCCTGTTCCTCCCGATTAAGTTGGTGGAATGCTCGTGGCTCCCCTCCTGGTGCACTAGGTGGGAACTTTTCATTCTCCAGCTGTTGTTGAATTCGTTGGAACTCGCTTCGCGAGGCTGGCACTATAACACAACATCAGCCTTCCATATTTGATCAAGTTTCATATTATTTATATCCATCAAACTAGCATTAAATTTTCTTTACATTTTCTTGTGAATTATGACAAAGACTTCTTACAGTTTCTATTTCCATCACAAATTATCATGAAGGGTGTGTTGATTCTTCATTGCATCCATCTGTCAATATAAGGTAACAGGGGTCATTATTTATTTCAATACCATGCTAGGATTCGAACCCAGGACCTCTGGTTTACAAGTATGACACTGAACCAGCTGAACTATTCAGAAGTTCTCTGTAGCTGGGTGGAATATTGTAGATAGTGCTTTACCAGGGTTACATTAACTTGACCTTATCATCAAACAATGACCAACCACGGTATTCCAGACAACTTCAAAATTAAGATTACTTTTTAATCTTTACTGTGAAAACAGTATGGTGCGAAGGAGATCATTACATACTTGTTTCGCCTCTCCACATCCATGTCATTTTACGTTGGCACACAGCACCAGGCTTATTGAAGTCACATGCCGCACAAGTTGCTTCATCTACAATCGCTGGAGGCTAGAAGACCAACAAGATTTTAAACATTCAGAAATGTTTTAGAAATTTTATTCTGCTTAGATACAGGGGCTACAAGACATCTGACAGATGTGACAATTATTGAAAAGCTCTTTATTGACAAAGACTATTTTTTTGGAATATTTTTGCCATTTTTTTTTCTAACGTGATTTTTTAAGTTTGTCAAGGTCATTTATTTACCCAGCATCCAACATAGTAAACATGATTTTGAAGCCTTGATTTTTGGTTAAATGTTTTAACCAGGCAGACTAAAGAGTACCAATATCAGGACTGACTTATTCTTTATACAGAATACATCTTGGTTTAAGCCAAGGGGGCAACTTTCTTACTTAAGATTTGACAGGACTTACTACAGTAGAATAAGATAGCATTGGGTTTTAATTTTATTGAACAGCAATAGCTATGGGTGGACATTAGATCAACAACCAAGTTTTCAACGATTACCTGTAATCTGTTTGTAAGGATGATGTTTGGGTACATGGCAGCCACATCCAGATGGTAAATGATCGGGTTCTCAAGTCGGTTGGGACAATCACGCAGCATAGCCAGACGTTCAATGATATCCGTACAAACCTCATCCAAGTTAGTCACGGTATCCATGGCGATTTTCTCCTCCTCTTCTATCGCATGCTTCATTGTCTTGTGCACCTTGTCAATGAGGTTTTGAAATGCTTCTGGTACCTGGTCAAAGATTCACATATGCCATGGTCATTGTTTTTATAAGAAATTTTATTCTGTAACTACTAGCAGTATAGGCGACTCCAGAAATGTTTACATGACTAAAACAAATCTGTAAGAAAGGATTGCTTCTGTCCCCATTTTCATCAGGTTTTTTTGTATTTTGGTTTTATTTAGCAATATTGACATTTCACTCCGTCAATTGTATTAAATAATTTTGATATAGATCCCTTCAGAAACAAGTCACCAGAGATGATTTGATTTGAGTTTGTTTACTAGGTTTATCTTTCTGAACAGTTAGGGTCATTTTGAGGCTGGAAATCCTTGTTGAAGTTGGTGGTAACCTCACTGAATCACATACAGAAGGCCCACTGCATTTCAATTAGGTTAAAGCATCTTACCTAACGACACAACAATAGCAGAGATCTGGATCTCAGCTTCCTGTGAAACACAAACTGCTGCAGATAGGTAACCTTAAACCACGCACCTCAGATCTGAACATGAGGTTATCTAATCTACCTAGCAGAGCTATCCCACCCTATTCCTTTATGTGAGACTGAATACATTACAACATGATGGTATAGGTATAAACTGACATGCTGTTAATAAAGTGATAGTGACATAAAAACTGTATAAATGTACCATTCTAAACCTGCAGGGAAGGTCTGCCCTAAAGACTCCTGACTCCAGCGCCTCTACATGACCGCCTACATACGTCTCCGAGTCAAGTACATGGCCATCCTCTGTCAGCTTGTTAAATACAGCCATCTGTTTATTGGGGAATATGATGTTGGCATGATAGGCTTGCACCATAAGTAGGGCCTCACAGAGTGTTCCAGATCCCTTCCTCAGTACCTGGGAAAGAGACAGGTGTACTGATCATCAGAAACAGGAAAACTTTTCCTCAAAACAGCTGTAATTAGTACATCTTTACGGAACATATTTTCACATCATGCTATCATGAAACAGAAAAATCAATCTAACCTTAACATTGTCTATTCATGTAATCTTTATGCATATTTTCACCCTCTCCCTCTTTTGAATTCTGACCAAAAGGATTGTCTGAAATGATTCCATTTTTCAAAGTAGTCAAAAACTTTTTATCACATAACCGACAAGTTTTCCCATGTCATACGCCCATGTCATAATAATGGTAATACACATGTGTAATAAAGGTTTGGGGTCTGCTGATTGGTCAAAATCGTGGGAACGTATTCATACGCCCGCGCGCTTACTACTTTTATTTACTACAACAAACTGTAGTAAAATATGGCTGACCAGATCAACATTGGCGACAGTTTTTATTGATAAGAAGGGGACTGGTGTGGTGAAGGAGATAATCCCACAGGGGTTTGCTGTATTTTATAATGTTGAATTTTGTGGGATTGACTTTCAAATTGAGCTTGAGCACGATCGTATTGAAAAGGTGGTAGATCCCTCCCAACAGCAAACGACCGCTCCGGATGGCGGTCCTGTTGCCCCTGAACCAAGTCATTTCGTTTCAGTCAGAGAAGATGAGGTGGGGAACATTATACAGGATCAATCAAACAAGAATACGTTGAGCAAAACTTTGTATGACATGAAACTTTTGTATAAATTTTTTGAGTTACCAGAAATAAATGAAAAGCTATCATTGAAAGTGACAGTGACTCGCAGTAACTTGAGCAGTTAGGCCGAACCTGATGACCCGTCTGACGAGGCGAGGTGACGTCACGTTACCAATATCAAGTGAATTTCCAGAAGATTTTTTTTTGTTTTTGATTTTTAAAAGTTATTTTGGCATTAACCAGAATTTAAATGTTTTACTTTGTAGGTATTATTTTGGAACATAACAATCTCTTATTCAATCATTGAAAAAAGGTACTATTTGCAACACGGATGGATAAAACTATGGTTGCTGTACGTTGGTTTTGACCTATATAGAAACAGCTTATTGCATAGTGGAAGTAAATTGTAGTTTTCGTCGATTTTTCCATTTTAATTGGTTATGTGATAAATAGAATCTTACACTCGTGTCAATGTATTATCGGCTCGTGGCATATCAAATTATTGAACTCGTTTTAATAAATTCCATAATACATTGACACTCATGTAAGATCCTCTATTTCCATAATGGTTAGTTTTCCCCAAATTCAAGATTGACCCATAAAAATTCCTGGTGCAATTAAATCAATAGCAATTGATCTGCTTACCTCATCTGGTTCCATGGGGATGATTGTACACAAGGCAAATATAAAGGGATGGACATACTTCATGTACAGGTAGTAGGTAGCCACAGCGTCCGACACGGAGTAGTTGGACAGCACCTACAATTGAGTATTTGTTCATTATTTTCTCTTGATGTATTGGAAGAAAAACACAAAACCAAAAAAAAAAAAAAAAAAACTGAACAGACGATTATTTATTTTCACCCTTACATTACAAGAGAATAAGTATATTTTCTGTCTTTCCTCTGACAAAGTATTTTAAGACAAAGAATTAACAGAATTAGTAGGTTATTCAGAAAAGTTTTCTCTGTGCTGTCAGTAGACAAAGAAATCTGTAACATTATTAAGGAAAGTTACCTGTGGTTCCTCGCTGGCCATGCGACACATATCCTCGGGATCCATCTCTACCGGGTTGTAGCGTAGCTTAGCCTGCAAAGAACCAAGCGATATCAAAATATAGTCAAATATTTGTTATCAAATACTCTTCTTAAACCTTACATTGTACTAACATGACAGGTTTGTTGTTAACGTCTATTACTAGATTGTTTTTTTTTTCTGAACATCTTCTTCAGGTTGTTAATGTAAATAGAATATAAATTTTTTTAACACAACCAGTAGAAGATTAGAGTGTGACGTTTCGATGACTAAACCGTCACCTTCATCAGACAAACGACCATTGTGGAGTGTAGTAGAAGAGACATATGTAGTGTATGAGATGGTACAGAAAGCGACTGTGTACACCACTGCTGATATGCTCCACACTGTTCATTTTATCCAATAGGATTATCGGATAACAACAATGATCTTAATACAACAAGTGTCAAATTTTCATTTTGAAACAGTATTTACAAGTCTAAGTACAAGATACTAATAAGGGTTATTCCAGTAAATCTCTGCTAAAGGCGTACAGGTTGGTGAAATACTTATCACCCATAGAGGTTATTTAATTCAAACAGTGCTAGTATGTAACTTTCTTCATAACACCCATCATGTGTAGAGTTCGATATTGTTCTGAAGTTCCTTCTGTTAGATATGTTTCGGAGTGGAACAGCTTTAATATATAATGGGTCTGTTTTGCCACACACAAGTTTTGTCATTGGTGTCAATTAAGAAATGGTTTCAGTAAAGCGGTGATATCAAATAAAAATTGTAAATCATTCTTAATTAAAATTCCCCAATTCAAAATCTACTGTGCAAAACTAGTGAAAAATCATCTTATCGCAGAAAAATGGAAGTCATTAAACCTCGGTGTCATAGTCCCTGATATACATCTTTGTCACAGACAGCTCAATATAAACAGGAAGTAATTTATTATTTATTTCTGAGACTCAAATATTTTTTTCTATTCCTGATGAATACAGCACCTGGTACTGTAATATATAACAACCTAGTGATGATGTATATGAATACAGCACCTGGTACTGTAATATATAACAACCTAGTGATGATGTATATGAATACAGCACCTGGTACTGTAATATATAACAACCTAGTGATGATGTATAATATCTTACTTTGGCGACAGCTTTAAGACCTTGGCTCCCAACAGGCAGATAGCTGTCTCGTTTTACCCAGCTGCAAAGTGAAACAGAAAACTGTAACATTCTCAAAACAGGACAACATACTGTTACAATGAAGGATTTCTATTTGTCACTATTTTCAAGGATGAAAAAGACACTACATTAGCTATAGCTTTATCTGTGATTGATTTTGCTTCAAGTTTCTGCAAAAACGAACAACCTTTAGTTATTAACAACAGATAAAGCAAAGCAGAAAGCATTCAGAATCAGTTGTCAGTTCATATTTTTTCCCCATTATACTATGAGAATATATTAAATATCTGTCTTAACTTCAAAAAAATCAACACACACTTGTCTTAACAGAAGTTAAGTTTTGCCGGATGATAGTTTGAAAATTTAAAATTCAAAAGAATTACAAACAAAATGTGGTTTTGTTGTTCTGTAGTATATGCCCTCCATGTGTGTTGGGCTCTTGGGCTTATCAAGGAGGAACAGTATATGCTGTCTGATTATCTCCCCTGGAAGTAGATATTTACCGTAGACAATCCATATGTATAGATGGCCGAGACTTGTATTCACCCTGATTGTCCTTCGTAAAGCCGATTTCTCGCGACATGTCTAGCCCATGTAGAGCTGCTCTAGCCTCCACAAATGGCCTGCAGTAGAGAAAACACATCATTATGCATGTCAGTAATCTGTCTTGAAATACACTTGTAATACACCTGTAACACATGTATCACACCTGTAATACATGTATCACACCTGTAATACATGTATCACACCTGTAATACACATGTAACACACCTGTAATACACATGTATCACACCTGTATCACATGTATCACACCTGTAATACACATGTATCACACCTGTATCACACCCGTAATACACCTGTATCTGTATCACACCTGTAACACACATGTATCACACCAGTAATACACATGTAATACACCTGTAACACACCAGTAATACACCTATAACACATGTATCACACCAGTAATACACCTGTAACACACATGTATCACACCAGTAATACACCTGTAACACACATGTATCACACCAGTAATACACCTGTAACACATGTATCACACCAGTAATACACCTGTAATACACATGTATCACACCTGTAATACACCTGTAACACATGTATCACACCTGTAATACAAATGTATCACACCTGTAATACACCTGTAACACATGTATCACACCAGTAATACACCTGTAATACACCTGTAACACATGTATCACACCAGTAATACACCTGTAACACATGTATCACACCTGTAATACACCTGTAACACACATGCCATACACATGTATTATTAGTCTTGTAACACAGTCACACTAGCAGTTGACAAGATATTAACCATTACAAACTCATTCTCATTATAAATCAAATGGTAGGAAGAAAAAGACTCAATTTTCTTGGGGATTTTTTTGCTCATTTCTTCTTAATCAATAAATTCATAGATCTGTGAAATTTTAAAAATTAGTGCAAGCAGATTTATTGAGCTATACATTTATCCATGAAATCAAGTGCCCTCAAAATAGAAATTTGGTGAAAAACCACAAAAATTGAACACACAAAAATATCCAATTATACCCTGAGAAAACATAAATAATTAAAGCTTTTAAATAAAAGTTAAAGCTGGGTAAAATCAAGTATTTTATCAGGTTTTATCCACAGTAAATTATATCACATCAATACTGTTTACTACTGTTATAAACCTCAGACCATACCAGTCAAACATATCTCCGTTGTATGTCACAAAGATGTGTGGTCTCACATCCAATACATGATCGAAGAATCGCCGCAGCAGTGTTACCTGGACGGAGAAATACGAGACGAAAAATTAAAATTAATTGAATATGAGTTTTGACAACTAATGAATACAATACAATGCAATATTATTTAAACTATATAGCTGGTCATTTCCGAGGGTAAGAATTTTCTTAATTTGTAAATAAAACAGTTCTATTTTTCATGAATGGCATTTTCATGATTTGGATGAAATATAACATCTATTTACACATGTCTCAATACTTCACATATCAAATTTTTGAGTTCACCTTAACGTACCACTAAACAGCGAAAATATCACCCTAATGAAAATGACGGCCTATACTATAAACACAAAAACATATGAGGCGAAGACAGAAAACTCTAAATGGTAGATGAAGATTTGAATATCATAATTGCAAAAATTTGAGAAAACTTAAAATTAAGATAAAGTTATGGTTTTAGACAAAACTATCTATCAACTGGTATTGTCTTATATATGTTATTTCAGAAAGATAAAAAATCTTGAACAAAATACTTTTGACGAACTAAATGACCGTTGCCTAGTAGCCATTTCTTTTGTCAGTCATTCTCTAAATATAAAAGGACAAGGGGAAAACATGGAGTGAAATCTGAGAAGATCCATCAAATACTTCCGAAGTAAAATAACTTTTTAGGACCAACGAATGAATGAAAGACAACAGAACAAGGCATACACAATTAGAATATTCTAATAATCTAGTAATGCTGAATTAAATTTTCTGTGTAGTTATTATGTGGAACTAACCTCATCTGGTTCATTAAATATGATGAATGGTCCCTCAAATTCTGGTCGTGGTGTGTATTCAAAATCCTCCACATCCTGGGACACTATCTCCCTGTTAGTGATCAGGTATCCCTAAAATGTTTCCGTTATAAAAATTAACACATATGTAAAGTTATTTTCTGTAAGCTATCACAAAAAATACCTCTCCAGAGCATTCTAGTGACAAGTGTGTTGATAAGTCAGGACTCTCAATCTGCCAGATTTGGGGCCGAATGCAAAATTGTATCTTTTTTCCCAATTTAGACCCCAAGTTTTCCCAATTCTAAGGAAAACTCCATTATTTTTCCTAATTCTAACGGCCCCAGTCCCAAAATGGGGTGTGAGAGCCCTGTAAGTTAAATACAGCATCTAATGCCATGGACACTTTGCCATTTGTAAATATTCAACCTTGGAGTGATAAAGAGTTCTGGAGTAACACATGTTACAGTTAAATTAATAATACATAAATTTTATTTGTGAAAGAATAGAGACAAATACATTCCTGCTGTGCCCTGACTGAAATCAAGCTCGTGTCTTTGGTGTGATAATTACACAGCCCTACCAACTGAGCCAAATAAGCATGCTGAGACAGCAGAGTGACAGAGACTGTATTCAACACTATATTCAAGTTACAGTGACCCATAAGCCAAGTGACAGAGACTGTATTCAACACTATATTCAAGTTACAGTGACCAAACAGCCAAGTGACAAAGATTGTATTTAACTCTCTCAAGTCACACTAACCTGTCAGGTGAGTGACAGAGACCGTATTTGACACTATGTACGAGCCACATCGACCTGTCAGGCGAGTGACAGAGACCGTATATAACACTACATACAAGCCACATCGACCTGCTCCTTTGAAACATGTAACTTAGTCTGTTTAAGAATGTATTATATATTTCAAAACCAAGTAAAAATTTTGAAATTTTTAGGAAATCGCACTGGAATAAAATACTGACCTGGCCGTCAATCATGTATGATATCATCATTACTTGGTCAGTGGTAGCATCAGGAAATTTGAGCGGCAGTTTAGTCGTCTCAATATCAAATGCCAAAACAACAGGATCCTGTCAAACAGAACATAACGTGTTATAAGTCATCACTACATCTCCCTAGTGTTCAGCATTTTCAAAACAGCTGAAATATATCTAATGCTGACACAAACATAGAAACTTTACATGAATTTGAATTTCAAGTTTAATTGAACATCAATATTTTTAATCAACAATGATGTTTACGTTGACATCTTTTCCAGAGAGTTTGAGGTCTATCCTTTTATTTCAAAGTGAAAAATGTATTCTAGACAAATTACGATCTTTCCACAAAGTAATTAATATACAACATATTTAACAGGAAACAATAAAAACATTTTCAATCAACAATGTAGGATTTGTACGTACTGGTCGATCCACAAGATCTTCTCTTGGTCGAATCTCTACAGGTAGGGAGCCACGCCCTCGGACCGAGTACCAGTGACCTACATTTATTTTCAGGTCAATCGACACTCTCACATGGTAGGGCACATCATATTCTCTGTTAAACAGGCAAAGGTTTATTAGCAGCTTCTAAATACTTCTATTTTTATATTGATTCATCTTGTCTTGTATCTTAGAATCATTCTTTACTTTCCGAGTAAGAATGCCTTTTTTCCCTAAAACAATTGGCTCATTCAATATTCCTGCAAAAATAGGAATATTTGCTTTTAAGATTATTGCCTCATGAACTGCCAGGGTCATTCTGGGGTCTCCTTGTAGTAGCTAATGGCTACCTCATTGCTCAACATACAGAAAACTTGTAACATGGAGTCTGGAGCGATTTAGGGTATGGATTAAATGAGAATTATAATCAAGTGTATATCTGCTATAAAAAACCAGTTTTACCTGATGTCTAGTATATTATCCATCTGGTCGACCATCTTTTTGGAGTTAGTTGTATTGTTTTCACCAGTTAAGTAGCTGTAAAAGAACCAAATAACACATGAAGCATGCATCTGTGGATTACTTCTGTCAAACTTCTCAACTTAAAATTGAAACACTGAACAGTTAATATAACATTACAGTAAATACAACATACATAGAAACCATTATCTAAAAGGTATTTTATATAAAAGGTTTTAATATACTTTTTCCATTTATAAGTGACTGAAATTTTTGCATGCTTTAAATGAAATTCTTTACATGTTATTAAGATTTAATTTATTTTTTGTCATACTTCAAATAAAAATACAGTATTCTGTAGTGTTCATCAACTTAACATGTGATTTTTATGTTTGGGTTTTTGTCAGGGAAAATAAAATCTTTAAAGTTCATATATGAATATGAGGAAGTTTCTGCAGTCCAAGGGAGGTAACTCTCACAAAAAACTATCCCAGAAGTATACCATATGAGAATGGCTCAATTGATAATGCAGTCAAACTTTGACGTTTCAAAGTTCAAGGTACAATAATTTAGTTTTTAATTAACATATTGTGCCTAATTAAACTTAAATCTGTGTCCAGACATTAATTAACATCGTAACACAGAGTATATAACAGCTTGCTATCATAATCCTCTTGTCAGGTAGCGGTATGGGTGAAATTCTGATGCAGGGCGAAAATACCTGAACAGTACAGGTGTTTTTTTAGTTCAATCATGAAGTGTCTATGACTATGTTATCATTGCTAATGGTCTGAGAAACCAAAGAGGCCCATAAGCTTTAATGGTCACCGGAGTTGAATTTTTGTTTTTAACAATGACACATAAACTTAACAAAACTGCTGTATTCAATATCTAGTGTACAGATTAAAGTAGAGTAATGTTTGTAGCAAGTGTGGATTGAAAGGACACAGCAGAAACCTGAACAAATCTTACTATAACAGCCCTGCACTGAAGTTTTTCAAACACTCCTTGACAACAAAATTCCAACCTGTTTTGTCATTCATACTGAAAATGAATACAAACAGGCAAACATTTGACCCCTGTAACCTTGAATGTCAGTCAAGTTCATTAACTGAACAAACTTGATAGCCCTTCATCCCAGAATGCTACAGTCCCAACATGAAAATTGTGGGCCTTCCGTTTATTAAGAAGTCAAATATGTTTATTGTTTATGATATATGGCACACAACATGACCTTGCAGCATGACAAATTTGACACAAAAGACTCAGACCAAGGAACAATTCATTAATCAATATTGCCCAGAATGTGTCACTTAAAGGAATTCTTGTAGGTCTAAACATTTTCCTGAACAATTTTCAAAAGTTTTAACCTGGAGAACATTGCAGTGTAGGCTTCGCTCGACTTCTCTCGCTCTTTGTTCTTGGTGACAGCAGGATTAATCTCTCGTTTCACTTTCGTTAAGTCCTCCACAGATAGGAAGGATAGCTTGAGGTAGCTTTTTTTCAGACCCACTAGATGATTGGCCTGGAGGAGAAATTCCATCAAACTAAATCATTAAACATTTCAAATAAATTACAAATGGAAACAAGGTTTTCATAATGAGGAACAAATAGTCTTTTACACATATTGGTCCATTTCTCTGCCCAACACTTTACCAACTGAGCTACCATTTACCATTCAGCACAAGAGAAGTTTTCTCTAGCCAGCTCAGTGGCAAACACCTAGTATTTGACAAGAGTGAAAGGAAAATTAATTAATTAACCATTTGTTTCTTGGGTCCTAATTACATTAGTTTAAAATGATAAATATCAATATTTCTAAATACTTTAATTATCTTTCAAACCAAGGATCCTTAACTTAAAACAGAATATGAAAAGCAGTATGACAAACCAGATCTAAGTCTTCCTTATACACAGTTTCAACGGATGCAATCTTTCCGGAAAACTTCTTGGTGAGAAATGAAGCCACTTCTCGCTCAAACTCCTTCTTGGTCGCCACAAAAAAATAAGGACGAAACGGGAATGTTGCCTGCGAAATAGATAATCACTCCATTATCAGCTGCTTGACATGATAAAGTTTTCAAATGACAGCTTTGAAATTTCAAACCTGAAGAAAAATAATTCAATTTTGCTCGTAATAAAATCCAAATCATCTTTTCTACTTTTTGTCGAATTTTGCACTTAGTGTTACCTTGAATCGTCCTCCATCTTCTTCTAAAAAATAGTAATCCACAGCACTTATAAGTCTTTTGTTCTCATCCAAAATATCAGCCTGAAAACCACAAGACATCAAACCAAATTAGAATGAAATTGACTTAAGGATGTCGCAAAAGTAAAATTCTATTTATAATGATAGTGAACTTGCTGTTTACACTTTCAACCAAAAATACCATCGTGAATAAAATGAAAAAATAACAGTGAAAATTGACCATTCTGAGACCTGACAAATCAAACACAAACTCACTTTGTATGTCTCCCACACATTTTCCAATACAAAGTCAATTAATTAACACTAGCAAATCCAGCCACTATCACTTGCATATTAGACTTTCTTATTCTAATGCAGTTGCAGGGTTTTCCATAAGAGCCAGTCGCCGGCCAATTTGACTGGCTACTTTGATCATTTGGCCGCCTACACCAATCCAGTTCCGTAATACTGTTCTGTACACGACTACACCTACACGGCAGGCCAGCCTCCTACTTTCACTACACAGCCTACTACTAACAAAATTATGGAAAACCCTGAGTTGAAATATTAAACAGAATATTCTAAGGTTAACCTTAAGTGTTTTAAGTCAGTCCATATCAATACATACTGGGTGCATGTTGATGAGCCATCCTGTCCTTTCCACAGGGTCCTTGTATCGTTCAAATCCAAATTTTGTGTCAATTTCATCATTCAGGTTTGCACGCTCTAATCTCTTTTCCGAAGTATCTTCTCGACTGAAACTTTAGAATATATCAAAATATCTAAGAATAATTGAATTACTTCTACGTACAACAGCTTCTGTTAAAAATTAAAAACCTCTGGTAACCCCTCTCAATACTAACCTCACAATCACAAATTTATATAAAAGCTGGAATATGAAGAGTTACAGGATGCAAGGAACAGTATGGAATTACAGAACATATGGACACTGTTTGAGTGAACAGTTTACAGACAGCTATGGAAAGAAGACTTAAATATGGACAACAAAACCATATCAACACAAGCACCTTACCGACAAATTATCACTAATCAGAATTATGCGCTGTCTGTTAGTCCGTTGGATGGGACTTAAAATGGTGGTCCATGTGGGAATGTCCCATTCACACAAAACAGATCCATTTATTTTTTTCTATAATCAGCAGGTGTGATATTGTCAGCCAATAGACTTGTTAAGGTTAGCATAAGAGACTTGATACTCGAAAATTTAGACGAGCTTTATAAACATCTTAATTGATATTGAGTAGGATCCCGTCCTCTTTCTCCTGTCCATATCCCATCCTCTCTCGCGACATGCCGTCTCAAAGCTAGGTTAGGGTTAAAATCAAAACAACGGATAGTCTTCAAAATTCATGTCAGAGAGTAAAGACGACCCCTCTCTTCCTCATCCCTGAATTACACTTTCTACAATCACTTCATACCATTTTCTATCTACACATTTCCTAATTTTTCTTATTCGCTGAAAAGTCGAAAGGTCGTCGGGAATGCTTAAACCCATTAGATGAATAAATGAAGTTGTGATGTCAGATTTCCAGTATGATATACGAAAACTAATATCCATACAACATCAAGTTAGATCGAATGATCCCAAGAACCCAATATAAATATAGGATAATTGCGAGTATATCTGGTAGGCCTGCAGCCGATATTTGCTTAGGAACTTACCCAGACCCGTCTGTCTTTTCTGATCGGTCGGCTTTAAATCGTCCACTGTTCTGCAAGACCATTTTCGTTAGTTGTTCATATTCCAAAACATAACATTACACATTTTCGTCCCTGTTGTTTTGTGTTTGGCGGGAAATGTTAAGCATTTTGCAGACTATTTTTTATCGAAAGGAATTATCTTCAAATATAATTAGGCATTGTAAACACAATGCATTTTATATATGAAATAATAATTCTTGGTTGGTATCATAATATCTTCTCAAAATAAGAAAATATCTGGCAATGATGCTACTCTTTATATTTTTTTTAATCTTATAATGCGTTTCGTTTGATTGTGTCCTATACTGGTCGGAACATTTCTAGAATCAATGAAAACACCCAACTGAAGTTTATTCCGAAAGACAAAATGGCAGCCCCCATCATCAACACTTTGACTGCGAACTTCACTAGGTATGCTTCACACATCAAGCGTAACTATTTTGTTTGTTACTGACCATAATCCACAGTATAAAAGGAAACACGTCTCTTCTTAAATGATAGATAACTTGATGCAATAGTGAATTAAAATCAACAGACAGTTATTTTCACAAAATAAGCAAGGTCGTTTCGGTTACCTGACCTATCCAGTCTGGATGTTCAGGGTAGTTACCCTGTATTCATTTTAAGGCAATAGATTTATTTAACTAGGGAAAAATCCCTGAATTTTAGAGGATACACTGAAGATGCGACTTCTCAGAGACGAATACTGTAAATTATTCGTCCCGGTCTCAATTTTTCGTAATCCTCATTAATATGAAGTAGACACTGCCTAAAAACGAGCGCAAATTGGTCAAGAACATGCACATTTTGAACAGCCTGATCCATGTTTGCACTGAAGCGTGTTTTTTTTTTAATTTGTTGTATATTTCGCAAGATTTGAACAAAACATCGACACATACAAATGTACCAATATATCATCATCATCAGCAGCAGCAACACATCTTCTTCTAGAAAATATTGTATCACTATGATCAGGCGGTGGTTTGGTGGCACAGTTGTAACACACTTGTCTATTACCTAGCCATTTGGGGTTCGATTCCCCGAAGGGATAGAAAGGATACAGGTTTCCTCCCAAAGTTAGACCCCTCTCTTGCTTACAAGTGTGATTTTTATAAGTTGAAATAACAAAGTTTCCATATGTAAGTAAGTCATGCACATACAATCATACACAATGAAGGCAGACAAAGAAGAACAAAACAAAAGACGACAAGATAATGCAAAATGTGACACTTTCCCTTCTCGAAGCTGTTTAAATGAAAAACACACAATCATATATATATTAATATTACAACAAGTTAATTTCTATTTGTTATTTCTAATTGTTCCATACAAAGTATTGAAATGGAGAACTTCTGCTAGAGTACTAGCTTGATGGCTGTACAATGTTTTGAGTATCGGGTAATTACCTTGAATGGTTTAAGATAACTGGCTTGAAAAAAAAGTTTTGTGGTTTGGCCGATGTTTCCATGGTAACAGAAAAAGTATTTAAATGGCAATCTTCCCCATAGCGAAAGAGACTACTAGCTTATTAAGTGTAAACTGTTTTGAGCAATTACCTTGTCAGAGTATTGGCTCAGAAAAACTGAAATTTTGATGAGGGTCATCGGTTTCAATGGTAACAATAAATGTATTAAAAAAGTCACTGACAGCATATCTAGACTATAACAATTGATAAAAAAGATCTTCAAAATAAATGCATAAGAGTTTCCCTTTTAGAGTTACAGATATTGCAGAGAGGACTTTCTATCATCTTTGCTTAAAAAAAGAAAGGATTTTGTCAAAATATGATGAAAGACAATATATTATAGTTTTAGTCGTATTTGTAAAGGTGGTGCTTATATGTTTAACAAGTTTTCATTATTAAAATCACAATGTTCTCTCCCGCCATTTTCTTTTCTCTTTGCTATGGAGGGTTTTTGTTCTGTTCATTAACAAATCATAAAATGCTTCAGAACCTTCGGATTTGTTAGCAATTTTAACTTGTCCTGGTAGCAAAAAGAGGGTAAAGTTATAAACCCTGTTGAGACTATTCTGTTATATATTGTAATTAAGAAAATCAATATATATATATATATATATATATATATGTTTAAATAAAATTCTTGTGAAAGCCACAATATATTACATAAACTGCATTATTCTGGATACCCCCCCCACCCCCCACAAAAAAAAATCACCACTAATAGTTATTTTATCATTGTGCCTTATAAGTGTTTGCTGAAAGTTTTCGAAACATTCAAATACATGATCATAATTAGTTATCAAAAGAACATCCTCATCTTGCAGAATTAATATAGTTAGGAGATGGGCGAGTTTTTCGTCAAATCAGGACCTTACGTCACTTTCCGTGAACGAGAAACACATCGTCTCGTTCACGGAAAGTGACGAAAGGTGCCGAACTTTAAACCGGAAATCAGGTACATCGGAGCACAATCGAGCTGAAATCTTGAATGGTTAAAATTGCAATTTTTCAATGAGATATTTGTTATATACGTTTCGAACCATTAAAGTATATGTTTGTTAAATTCATCTGAATTATTTAAGACTTTTAGTATGATTTCATTTCTACATGAGAGTTCTCATTGCGTGCTGCGGCAAGTGCATTGTGGGTAATGAAGTTCCTGCCACACTTCCGTTTAAAGTTGATCGTATGGGCAGGTTGTTGGAGTTGAATTATCACACACACACACAATACCATAAAGCGCTCGCTGCGCTCGCTATTAGAGGTCCAGGTTGTGTTAATGAGTTATATACTTGACTATGATTTGAGGGAGAGGGATGTATGTAAGTAACTTGTGAATACACATAGATAACATAGTCAATGTGTTATGAACTCATCCTGATGCCGGAAAGAATAAAAACCAACTTAAGTACCAAAAAACTGAAATTATTAACAGCCTATAAACTCGTATAGACAAGCGCCAATGATGGATGGTAGTTATAAGAAAATATATGATCAGAAGATTCTAGTGGGGATGTATAACATTGTAAGATCAGTTTACTATTAGGACCAGTTCAATCACGATTTGCAGAGTTATGACCCTTTTCAGATTTATTACTGTTAGACCATGTGAACACGATAACTTGAGTAAATATGAAAACTGTTCATGAAACTTGGTATGCAGATCTTGAATGAGTTTGACAATTGGACCTTTTCAATCCTTATTTGCAGGGTTATGACCCTTTGCAGATTACTTGCGATTGGACCTTATGAACAAGATAACTTGAGTAAAGATTTTGATGAAAATTGGTACACCACCTTATATCAATATGATCTCAGATGTGTTCGGCAATGGGGCTGATCCAATCATAATTAACAGAGTTACGACTCTTTGCTATTTTATTACTGTAGACCTTATGAACATGAGCATTTTCCCACTTATTTAAGGGGGAAGAAATTTTTTTAGATAAAAAAAACCAAAAAAAAACACAACTCTCATGTGTTTTGCCTGAAATGTTTATTGTTACACCTTCTATTAGGAAAGAGCCTACCTGATTTCTGAATTTGGTATGGAGTTATTTCCTTTGAGAGAAGTACCATGGCTGCCAGAAATTAGAAAAATAGTTAAGAATAATTGTAAAAATATTTTCTTGGAATAAATGTAGAGTTATCAAACAGATATATTTCTTATTGTTCAGTAAGGTGAATGTAAAAATGTCTTTTAAGAATAATATATTTACTTTGCAGACTTGGATTGACAGCTAAGACATCCTCGATAGTGTCCAATACATTGCAGTTCAACAGATGCTTTAGGACGCAGACACACCCCCTTTTCTTCACGACAACTGACCATCTACAGTAAGACTTGCTTCTTTAGAAAATCAATGAAATTAGCAACAAGAATGGATAAAAAAGGGGTCTGATTTTTTTTTTATCATTTTTACCATCATCATCATATATTTTTTATATGGATCCATTCCAATCTCATTAAGTCTCTTTTGAAACCTTTCGTACGAGAAGGAACGATTTATTGGTTGGTTTCACGGGTTTACATTTACAGTCCATGATGAAATGCTTTCTGTCCTCAGACTTTAAGATGTACAGTTTATAAATAATGATGTACTATATCAGAGCGTTACACAGCTCACCACATTATCAATATATTTGAATAAAATCAGTCTGTATGTGTTGAAAGTGTGATATTAACTTAAACACAAACAACTAATTCAGTAGTCCACATTATTCTGATGCTCTATCAGTTCTTCAAGCTGATATATAAATGTTGTTTAAATATCAGAATAATTTAGACTACTAATTCAGATATTAGGCATGCCTTCTTTAAAAATTGATTATAAATATAAAGTTATACTGTAAAATTATTCATTTTCTGAATAGTTTTATTTTTGTTGACATTTATGGCTACTTTCAATTTTTTAATTTAATTGTTGATGAAATGATTATTAAATTGGTGTGGATTATAACACTACCATGAGCAAAATTTACCCACAAAGTCAAGTGCCATCGAAAATGTAAATTTTGAGAAACTTCAGCCCAAAATAAATACATGTTTTTACAGTAGTCATATGAGACCAATGTCTGAATAAGTTTTAAATAATGTCACAATTTTTTCTTTAGGAAGGTATCACCTTGAATCTACTTGCAATTAAGTTAACTGATTAAAAGGCCTTATGCAATTACAGTTATTAGAAGCAACACTGGTTGTGTGTTTGTTTGTTGTCACTTGCCAGAAGAGTGATTAAAACAGAAAAATACAAAACATGTGACATTGGGTCAACATACAGTTGTTGTTATTACAGATAAATAATTGTGATATTGTAAAGGCATCACAACAAGGAAAGAGTTTGTGGCTCACAATGCCATGAAATGGGCTTCCTTTTTCTTGTTCAGCCATCAATTACTACAAGGTGACCAAGCACCAAAATGAGCCTGGGTGTTAGTAAACCCAGCAAAGAAATAAACATCCAGCTGTAAAAGAAATGAAATCTAATTTGAAATTAACTGAAATTAAAATTTGCTAAATTTCTGTTTACAGGAAGAAACAACCAATACATATTTTTAATAAAAGGAGATTAAAAAGGAAAAAACAGATAGAAAAAACCCTTGCCAAAATGGACAGAAGAGCAATCCTCCTCAAAGCCCCCATCAAAGAGCAAATGGTTGAGATCAAACTGGAGGAAGAAGCAACTACGTAAGTTTCTGTGAAATCAAGTAATTTTTGTGAGTTATATTTTCATTGATTTCATGGGTCTTCTTAATCCACAAATTCATAAATGTTCACAAAATAAATTTTTTGATTGATTGATTTTTTTTTTAAAACATTTGGCCAACAAACATCTACACATGATGAGATTTCATATATGTTTAGTTCGTACATGTGCAGTTACATGTAACAGCATGTGCCGGCAAACTGGTAATAACATACTGGTACATATGTTGACATTCAAGTATCTTAATCAGGGCTCAAATTCATATTAAAACTTGAACTATATAGTTAGAACCATGGTAATGTACCAAGGCAAAAGGCATCACATAGATGTACAAACTATAAAAAAGAGGGAATGATATGCTATTTTACACAACAGACCTGTGATTGGTGTTAGAGTTAAGGTTATATGCTACCTTACACATTACACCTGTGATTTGAGTAAGAGTTAAGGTTATATGCTACGTTACATATTATATGTGTGATTTGTGTTAGAGTTAAGGGTGCATGCTACCTTACACATTACACCTGTGATTTGAGTAAGAGTTAAGGATACATGCCACCTTACACATTATACCAGTAATTTGAATATGAGTTAAGGTTATATGCTACGTTACACATTATATGTGTGATTTGTGTTAGAGTTAAGGGTGTATGCTACCTTACACATTATATGTGTGATTTGTGTTAGAGTTAAGGGTGTATGCTACCTTACACATTATACCTGTGATTTGTGTTAGAGTTAGGGTTATCTGCTGCCTTACACATTATACCTGTGATTTGTGTTAGAGTTAAGGGTGTATGCTACCTTACGCATTACACCTGTGATTTGTATTAGAGTTAAAGGTGTATGCTACCTTACACACTATACCTGTGATCTGTGTTAGAGTTAAGGGTGTATGCTACCTTACACTTTATACCTGTGATTTGTGTTAGAGTTAAGGGTGTATGCTACCTTACACATTATACCTGTGATTTGTGTTAGAGTTAAGGGTGTATGCTACCTTACACTTTATACCTGTGATCTGTGTTAGAGTTAGGGTTGTTTGCTCAGTTTTATTTTCTCTTTGAGCAAGGTGAGCTAGAGATCAAGTAAAACTAAAAACTTTTCTATATGGATGTCTTTTTTATGCAGATTAAGAAAACGAGAACCATCCATTTCCCCAGCAGAAAGGAAAAAAGAAATAAAAAAATTTGTACGTGAATGGGAATCTTACTGTGCAGCATTTTTGAGTCATGAAACACATTTGATAAAACAACGATTATTGTCACAACAAAGAGCCTTGGAGGAGTTACGACAGGAGTCAGAAGACTTGTACCAACAGGCAATCGCAGTGAGTATAGAACACCATACTCAATGGTCTTGTTATATTGAATTAATCAAGTAAGTTCAGTAGTTTCACACATGTGGTCCAATGTTATACACATATCATAGTATTGAACATATTCAATCAATTCAATATCAAAACATGTACAAGAGAAAGTGTAATATTCTATTTATCATCTGTATTCTTGAGAAAATAAGTTAAACACCTTCTATTATTTTCCTTATGTAATAGACAAAAAATTTGATGTACTTGGTTTGGGCCAATCAAATTTAAACACTTAATGTACTTGGTGCTCAATTTTCATGATTTTTCAATAAAAAAGACCCACTATTTAATAGACCCATTATTTCTTAGATAAATATAGTTTGATAAAGCCAGTTATACTAATTTTAACAGTTTATGATCAGACTACTCATGAATTATGATCAGGAAAATGAGTGATTTTAAAGTATCATTTTTTGGAAAATATTGATTTTTTTTGACATAATCTTTTGACAGCAGCTGAAATAAACTATCTAAGATAGAGAGCTGTCTTTTGCCATCATTTCTTAATTTCTTAAACATCAGAAAAAGAAACAATTTGATTGGTCAATTATAAGATGACCTTTGCTCACAGTAAAAGGTCACTGTAACAGTGATTCTGTCAGACCCCAGTTTGACTCAAAATTCAAATTGCTGCCAGCGAACAAACAAGAATGTTAAATGCAAATTAACACTAAAATTATATCAATCTGACCTGTCTCAACAAACCTACAGCTGTGAATTGATAAAGAATGTTTCTGGTTTTCTTCATTTCATGTTAGGGAAGTAAGATATCTATGTTTAATCAGATTAAGTTAAATGTTTGCTGAAATTACTTCAGTGATTGCAACACGAAGAGTTTTCTTGATGCCAAACAAATTGTTGAAGTGAAAAAAATAATGACAAATAAATTTCTTGTATCTCTGCAGATAGATGAAGATCTGTACCATTTCAAAGTGAAGAGAATGACAGAGACGCCACCTATCCCTGGATTCCAGCCCATTGATGGGGAATACAATGATATTTCTATTAAATACGACTGATTGATGCGACGGGCGGCCATTGAAGGATCAGTTTGTGATAATAACTAGAGATACTGATGTCCAATTTGAGAAACACTGATAACCACATTATGTTCTGGATTTTTATTAAACATGGATGTTTTGAAAATATGATGGTTTGAAAAATTGATTACCAGGGTATATCACCTAACCTCTTGCAAAATGTTTTTGCTGTCCTTCATCTGTCTGTCCATCTATCAATCATCTGTCTGTCCATCTATCCATCATCCATCTGTCCTTCTCTCCATCTGTCTATGTATCTGTGAACGTTTGTCAGCACTTAAGCAGCTTCATTCCTTGAGGGATTCTCATAATACTTATTAAACATCAAAATATCTTGGACAAGTTAAAGTTTCGAGGTATTTGGGTCAGGGTCAAGGCTACCATTTTAAAGATATTTATAAGTCATTAAAGTGAAATAGTTTGTTGCACCAATACTTGGTATTTTCATTGTTATTACACTAATTAATTATTAGAAATTATCACAGTTTATCAAAAACTTGTCAGTTTGATGAAAATTTCTATCCTCAGTCACTGCAGAAAAGAGTGAACTACTTCTAAATACAAAGAGAGCTTGATGATGGTCATATTGTATAACAAAATTCCTGGTCAAATACTCATACCGCCAAAAAGTGGCATTAACATCTGTACATGTCCATTTAAACCAAATTTGTGTATTTTTTTTTTTGTATCTGTAAAGAGAAAGATATTTTTAGTCTACCTGTTACAAGTAACCAAGAAATCTTGAGCTAAACCATATCTGGCAATGCCAATCCTAGCTTTCTGATTGGTGGAAACATTCCAGTGGATTAGCATTGACTTCAGGTGTCAGACATATAACAATGCCACCATCCTTCAAAACAGTTGCATTCAGGCATACTCTCATTGTTCAAATAATTTATCTAAACTAAATGAGATGTATTTAAATAAATTATATCTACCAGGTATTTTCCCTATCTTACACTGTCTAAGGAAGTCCAGACTCGCTATTTATTCAAAGTTTATTCTTTTTTAGCAAGAATGTTTCAGATATAATTGGTACAGAATGTCAGCATTCCTTAAGAAGGATATTGAATAATTTGCTCTATTTCCCCTATTTAGCATACCCCATTCAACCAGGGTCCTTAGACCCACCATCTATATACAACACTTTCGATTCTCATTCACCCAAGGATGCTTCACATCACATTGGGATCTACATCCGAGTCCTACAGAGAAAGGATTTTTCCTCATATGGCCTTGCTCCTCTCTACCCATAGAACCAAGACCCCCCTATTTATACAAATTGATTGTCAATCAAGGAGGCTTCACACCAAATTGGACAGGATCTGGACATTCCAACAGAATAAGAAGAATTTTGAAGAATCTATTGTTTTCCCTTATTGGGCTCTGTCCCTCCAACACCAGACCCACTATTTATTCAAAATTGCTTCCCCTCTTTACGCCAAATTGGGACAGAATCACGACATTTCTACAGAATAACAAAGAATTTGCACCATTTCCCCCTTATAAGACCCTGTCCCTTCTGCATTAGAACCCAACATTTATACAAGACAGATTCACTATACCCAAGGATGCTTCACACAAAATTTGGACAGAAACCAGGCATTCCTATATAAGAAAGAATATTTTAGAAAATTTGCTCCTTTTCCACTTTTTGGCCCCTCCCCTCCCACCCCAGGGAGCCAAGACCCACCATTTATACAAAATCGATTTCTCCATTAGAGAAAGATGCTTCACACCAAATTGAGACTGAATCCAGGAATTCTTACAGCAGGAGGATTTTAAAGAACATGCTTATTTTCCCCTTTCGGGCCATGCAACTTGGGCCTCTTGGGGGCCCCAAGACCTACCATTTGTACAAAGTTTGTTCATCTTCCCTAAGGATGCTTCTGATCAAAATCAATGGTTTAAAAAAATTGATGGAAGACAAAAGACAGAAGACGAACATTGCAGTATGGCATAAGCGCACCGATCCTTCAGACAAGGTGAGCTAAGAAATTCAACAATCAATTTGAATGATAATCAACACGAGAGTAGAATACATATATTTATTCAAATCCTTTCACTCAAAACAAAGATACTGCCATACACAAATTCACTCAACTTGTTGTAACTTCCACTGTAACCAAACATCAGGATTACAAGCAGAATTTGTAGTGTTTCTAATATTCAATGTTGTATCACAAAAAAACGGTACTTAAAACCAAAAATACAATTTTTTCAAGTACCTAATTCATTAACTTTATGCGGTTTGTAGATTCCATGCCACAAAATCAACCATAGAAAAATGTTTGCTTTTTAAAAAGTTTTGATGATTTGTTTCTTAGGTTTTATCTTTTTTTAACTATATTGATAATCCATTGTTGACCATTTCCTTTTCAGATCATGACACAAAAACTTTGTCTGAATCACCAAAATAAACTTTATACTTTTTCCACTTGTAGGTGGACATGTTACTAGTTCTGGCTTTGCCATCATTACGTGGAGGTCTCAGATTCGGCATTAAACCTGTAATTAGAAAAGAAAACAATTTACAAATAATTCAGGCCTTCCTGTCCAGATTCAGGGGGCAGGCCCCTATGGTGTACCACTTCCCCACACCCCTCCCCCCTGTCAGTGATAAGAGTCTATGGGTTCAATGTAACCATCTTACATCAATGCAGCACCATATATAAAAGGTAAATAAATCCCTCAAGGCCCTCTAGGTCCATCTAGAGTAAAGGACATGTCCTATGGGGGGGAGGAGTGGGGGGGGGGGAATAAATTCTGGAGTCAGGAGCAAAACCTATGAGGTAAATAAATCATTCTTGGGTTAGAGTCGGGCCCTATGAGGTAAATAAACCCCTTTAAAATCAGGCCCTATGGTGTAATACATCCCCCTAGATTGAGTGGCAGGCCGTACACGATAAAAATAATCCATCTAGAGTCGGTGGCAGGCCCTATGGGAAAATACATCCCCCTAGATTCAATGACCGGCCTTACAGGAGAAATAAACCCTCTAGAGTCATAAATCACCCTAGAGGCAGGCACATGAAAGATTCCCAAGCTTGTACAGAAATTAAACAGGTGGAAAGAGAACTTTCAATTCAGTTAGATAGAAAAGTTTATTGATCAAATGGGCACAACTAGGGAGCTACAGGAACCTACATAAAATTTGAGAGAGATCTATTCAGTACTTCTCAAGAAATAGCAATAACAAACTTCGAGGTAATAATCAAAGTTGGCCATTGTGATTTTTGGATTAGACCCAAATTCAAACAGGCACAACTAGGGAAATCTACACATGAAATTTGAGAGAGATTAATCCAGTACTTCTCATAAAATAGTGATAACAAATATTGTTTATGGACTGAAGAATGACACACCATGGACGTAGAGCTATTTGAATAGTCCACCATCTGATTGTGTGCTATAAATGTGATCATTGTTATGTAATTTGTGACGCTCTAACCATCATGAAATGTAGCATTTGTGTAACAAAATTTACAGGTGTTTATACACTAAAGACTAACCTGCTCGTTGAGCCTTGTGAAGGTTTTCTTTCATCTTTGTTTGTTGGTGGCCACAAAGACCTGTCACCCAACGTGGCAAGATTTGGCCATTTTTGTTCACAAATTGGCTAATAATTTGTACATCCTGCAAGGGGAGACAATTCAATCATTAGTCATTACCAGTTTAGGAAAGAAACATTGAAATACATACATGTATAACTTATTAAATGATTAAGCGAATGAAATTAAAATCTTGTTTCAAAAGTTATTAAACAAAAGGGAGATGTATCACATATTGTTAAAAAAAAGGGGGTGGGTGTAAATATAAGGATACATCATACAACTCTTTTTTTTTTAATTATATTTTTCCATCAATATTTGGCTGTCTTGTCATATAATTCATTCATCAATCTTTTTTTTTTCATTTACACAGAAAGATATGTGCAGCATTTCATTTTATTCAAAATTTTGTTTTACGAAAAGCAACACTACATTTGAAGTCACAAAGATGATATAAAACATACTGTATACTTGACATCAAATCCACACAGAGTACAACCATTTTCTGGTTTATCAATGGAGACCAAATGACCAGTTTTTTCTGACTCTACATATTCAGCTTCAATCTAAAACAAAGAATAAACTGTTACAACGTCATAACATACGATGGATTTGTTTTCCTGTTATTGAAATTTTAATATGGTGCTCTATACTCTCCATCAGTTATATTGTAACATGAAATTTCAAAATAAAATTAAAAAGACATAAATACAATTGAACCAATTCAACTTTTTGTAGTACATATTCTAAGATAATTTTCTCAATTACTTATCACTTACAATGAGTGTATCACCATCTTGTCTTTCTTTTACTGAAAGAGAAACAACATGAATCCATGATGTGAAGTAAAATTACACAGTCTTTAGCTAAAATAGACCCACACTAATTGCAGTTTATGTATTTGTATAACTATTATTGTGGATACACAAATTTATCATTACATTAAATTAAATGTCTGCAATTAATTGATTGTGCGAAATTCTGTTTATAAAGCATGGAAGCTATGGGTCAAAACTAAAAACATAACTAAGTAAGTCAAATGCTAGAAGAATTTCAATGCTTTTTTGATTCTGAAATAGTTTTTTGAAAAGTGAAAACAAAACACAAAACAAAAACGAAACACATACACAAACACATTTCAAATTAAAAGAAGAGCACATGTCAATAAAATATACCAAATTCCAAAATCAGATTGTTTGAAGAATTCATTCAGATGTAAAATACTGTAAGAGGAGTGGAAAAATGTGTAGCCAGATTGGGGTTTGAACTCTGCACCCTCCAAACTCTAAATGAATGCCCTACCTACAGAGCTTACTGGTCAACGACAATCGACCCCATCCAAAGACATCACATCTAACAACCCAGGTTCTGGTATCCCCATTGTTAAGCATTCACCTACTGCCTGAAACAAGGTTTAGTCATGGCACCAAATGTAATAGGAACAGAAAAATACACGGCCCGTCCAGTTTCGCTACAATACAACAGGAAGAAGTTTTATAAACTTTCTGTCAGCGTTTGCATTCTGATAATAGTTAACTTATGCTACTTATATAGCAGGAACACTTAGTATTTTTATATTCTAGTAACATAGGACAGTGATATACAACTATTATACATCCCTACAGCATAGTAACAGTCATCATTTCACATACAGAGAAAGGACTTCCCTTTACACATCTACCCATCCCAAAAATGTCAAACATCCCTTAAACACTAATTAACAGGTGTCTGACCAGTTTATTTTGTATGTGTGGTTGACTTTGTCTGGTGCACCCTTAAAATGAACCCTTTTCAGGCACTTGGATATCTCATCCTTGATAAGAATTGGGTGGGAGATGCAAAAAAAATATATATAAAATATAAAACAATTTCTGCTGATAGGTGGATCACAGGGGCTTGTTTATATGAATATATACCTAGTGACAGTTATATCTATTTGTATCTGAACACCAGTATCTCTATCATAGTCCTAAGGAAACAGGTTATTAATGTCAGATGATAAATTGGTCAATCTTGTGTTTGGGGGATGCTCTGATGAAAGTCCTTGGTATCCTCTCATTACTGAGGATCTTTATTTTCTGCACTCCAAAACAAATATTTTGAAAATATGTTGTCTACTTTTTGACACATATTGATAAACCCAACTAGTATTCAATCTTACCATTGATGATAATGAAATATTTTGTCTGAAAAATATACTCAAGTGAATTGTAAAAATAGATCCAGTTATCTGTTCATGGCCTTACTGTGACTGTCCATTGGATGACACTATGCTAAGTGAATTTTAGTTGTTTTGGTATAAGTTGTTTTGGTACATGCAAAATGGTTTGCACAGCTAGGATGACATTTTGAGTGAACAATTTATCAATAATTGAATGAACAATATTTATCAATGAAAAAACAACTTAAAAAAACAAATTATATGCACAAATCATTTCTAAAAGTACCGAAACGACTTATTTTGAAGTACCGAAATGACTTGTCCCTGCAATGTATGGTTTATTGAATGATAAATATATTAGACAATGTATATTCAAATTTTTGCTTACAGGTGTAGTTTATTGTCTAACGTTATGTTTTGGTTAGTTTATTGTGAATATGCCATGTTTGGTGATTATGTTTGAAAACAAATTTGAGGATTACCTATACAAAAATACGTATTTAGTTTACAGAACAAAAATCTACTATAATAAACAGATGCGTCGAACCGAGTGATGTTTCCGACCTGGGTATTGGGATAGGCAAACTCCTGCCTGTGTCTGGGTTTAAGGCACCTGTATCTGGACTGTAAACAACACAAGCAAAATCAAGTCCGCTATAGCACCATACAAACTGCTTGTGTTGTTTACGTTCCAGATACAGCTGCCCGTACCTCGGCACTGTACGTAGAGGTCATCACCTCACACAAGTTCAACATACATAAATTTCTAGAATCAATACAAACATACTTTCCCTCAAATTTAAGCGACTTGTTGTTGAAATGGGTCTTTCCAATAAGCTTGACGGGAGAACAGCTGATTTCTGAATTATTAAAGGTGAATTTAGAAACAACCGGCGTGTCGAATTTACAACAGACGCCATTTTGTTTCTTGTGATCACTTCGACGCTTTATGTACTTTATCTGCTAGGCGCTTGATCCGAACATACCTTAACGAAAGGGTGTCGAGGATGGAAAATTCTCATGCATCAATCCAGTATTACTATGGAGATTTATCAGAATAACAATATTTTAATTATACACACTATTTTACGTTTTATACACATGCATATTGTTTGGATACCTTGAAATAGCTTTCATTTTACACTTAATTTAGACAATTTGTTCAATAATTAATCATATGTACATAATCGAACCTTTTTTTTTTTATAAATAAACGAAAATATTCAAAACAGCAATAAAGTCTTTCATTTTGACTTCATGTCTTTGTAATAATAGAATGTAAGACAAAAATATTGTCTACAGTCTTAAGGCCAGGGCGGAATCCAAACCAGAGACATATATAACATGTGTTATATATGTCTCTGTCCAAACTCAGCATCTATGAAGTTGATCATTTCATTGGTCTTGTGTTCAATATAGATGTAAGCAATTAAATTTACCATACGCCAGAACTAAATCCTCTCAAATGATTTGGGTCACTTTTATCTAAAAAATGTAAGAGCTGTCTTTCCAGTATAACCTCGACTCGAACCGACCCTTTCCGATCCACCCATGTTACCTCTCCTATTAACACTGCCCTACTTGTGAAATTGATGTTACTATGGTGCTCCTCTCCGCCCGTCCTGCCGTCCGTCCGTCTCTGCACCTGTGAAAGGTTCTAGCGCATTCAATCCTGGAGAGATCCTCACCAAACTTCACACACTTATTGAGCATTAAAAATCTGCAATGAATTTGAGTTTCAGGGTTGTTGGGTCAAGGTCATGTTTTGCCTTATCTGTTTATCTCGTTTTTATACGAAGGTCCTTTCATAGAACACTGATTCTAAGCTAAAACCAGTATCAAACTTTGGCACAAGTGTCTTTGATTACTAGTTTAAAATTGACGAATTGAGGAAAAAACAAATATTTTATAAAATGTTTTAGCAAAAATTAAAAACATTTCATTGTAGACTATAAAGAAAAAACCGAACATCCCTCTGTTTTTTTTCATATATATTCCTTATTTCTAAAACTACCGTCTGAAACTCCATACACGGAGCCTAAGAGTACACATAGTACACAAGTATCGCCGTTTCCGTATAAGGGTTCCACGGACGTGTGCTGCCATTGTTCGGATGTTCGCAGTTTCCGGATATGTAGTATCCGACTTCCTGTTTACTCACACCATGATAAGATGGTCATACTTTTACGATTTTCAATGTTATGTGGAATTACAATCGGTATAAAGATATGTCGATAGATTTTAGTGTTTTAATCAATGACTTGTTAACCGAGATAGAGGCTCACAAACTGAAGACATCATGACCCTCAGTGACATTAATTTTACAGGGAGATAAAAAATGATTTTTAGCTAGTTGAGCAGCGTAGGATTTACAATGTATTCATATATAAGTTCGTCGTTTTCTTGATATTTATTTTCTTCAGTTCATAACGTAGAGACAACGCAGACGGAATGACGTCATCTTGATGATGACGTCATTTAAGTGTATTTCATTTATATCATCCTGTTGATTTCTTTAAACTTTTTTACACAAAAATGATAAATGATAAAACAAGAATATTACATACTTTTTAAGTGAAATTATTTGTAAGATCTGTTTATTTGTTGGGTCCATGTCTGGTCAGGGCTTTTTTGAGACTTCCTTGTAAAAGGTGGTGACTGCCTCAGTGACATAAGGAAGGTCCGTCTCGTGTCATACAGAACAGGGTAAAGTCTCTCACATAAGGAAGGTCCGTCTCGTGTCATACAGAACAGGGTAAAGTCTCTCACAAAAGGCAGGTCCGTCTTGTGCCATACAGACCAGGGTGAAGTCTCTCACATAAGGCAGGTCCGTCTCGTGTCATACAGAACAGGGTAAAGTCTCTCACATAAGGCATGTCCGTCTCGTGTCATACAGAACAGGGTAAAGTCTCTCACATAAGGAAGGTCCGTCTCGTGTCATACAGAACAGGGTAAAGTCTCTCACATAAGGAAGGTCCGTCTCGTGCCATACAGACCAGGGTGAAGTCTATCACATAAGGAAGGTCCGTCTCGTGTCATACAGAACAGGGTAAAGTCTCTCACATAAGGAAGGTCCGTCTCGTGCCATACAGACCAGGGTGAAGTCTCTCACATAAGGAAGGTCCGTCTCGTGTCATACAGAACAGGGTAAAGTCTCTCACATAAGGCAGGTCCGTCTCGTGTCATACAGAACCGGGTAAAGTCTCTCACATAAGGCAGGTCCGTCTCGTGTCATACAGAACAGGGTAAAGTCTCTCACATAAGGAAGGTCCGTCTCGTGTCATACAGAACAGGGTAAAGTCTCTCACATAAGGCAGGTCCGTCTCGTGTCATACAGAACAGGGTAAAGTCTCTCACATAAGGCAGGTCCGTCTCGTGTCATACAGAACAGGGTAAAGTCTCTCACATAAGGAAGGTCCGTCTCGTGTCATACAGACCAGGGTAAAGTCTCTCACATAAGGAAGGTCCGTCTCGTGTCATACAGAACAGGGTAAAGTCTCTCACATAAGGCAGGTCCGTCTCGTGTCATACAGAACAGGGTAAAGTCTCTCACATAAGGAAGGTCCGTCTCGTGTCATACAGAACAGGGTAAAGTCTCTCACATAAGGAAGGTCCGTCTCGTGCCATACAGACCAGGGTGAAGTCTCTCACATAAGGAAGGTCCGTCTCGTGTCATACAGAACAGGGTAAAGTCTCTCACATAAGGCAGGTCCGTCTCGTGTCATACAGAACCGGGTAAAGTCTCTCACATAAGGCAGGTCCGTCTCGTGTCACATAAGGCAGGTCCGTCTCGTGTCATACAGAACAGGGTAAAGTCTCTCACATAAGGAAGGTCCGTCTCGTGTCATACAGAACAGGGTAAAGTCTCTCACATAAGGCAGGTCCGTCTCGTGTCATACAGAACAGGGTAAAGTCTCTCACATAAGGCAGGTCCGTCTCGTGTCATACAGAACAGGGTAAAGTCTCTCACATAAGGCAGGTCCGTCTCGTGTCATACAGACCAGGGTAAAGTCTCTCACATAAGGAAGGTCCGTCTCGTGTCATACAGAACAGGGTAAAGTCTCTCACATACGGCAGGTCCGTCTCGTGTCATACAGAACAGGGTAAAGTCTCTCACATAAGGCAGGTCCGTCTCGTGTCATACAGAACAGGGTAAAGTCTCTCACATAAGGCAGGTCCGTCTCGTGTCATACAGAACAGGGTAAAGTCTCTCACATAAGACAGGTCCGTTTCGTGTCATACAAAACAGGGTAAAGTCTCTCACAAAAGGACACAACCAAATCAGTCCCGCCCTTCCTCCATGGATAGAGAACTCCACCAACACTCTATCGCGACCTCTTACATCAAAACTCAAATAGCACAGAAGAAATTATTATGTTATGTTTGTCATCTCCCCAATAGAATGTCTGTTGCATTAATGAAACAAAACAAGACAAAACAAAGACGAAACAAATAGAAATAATAAACAAAAATCTCAAACAAACAAGAAACGAAAATGAAAAAAAAAATAAAAGAAAAAAAAACTTAACGATAAATAAATAAATACACCCCCTCAACCCATCCCCATCCCCACCCCATCCCTAAAAATTAAAAAAAAAACCATACAAACAAAACAAACAAAAAACAAGCAAAACAACAAAAAAAAACCTTCAGACTTGTTTTCGTGTGCCACTTGCCAATTAGTGCAATGTTACAGGCACAGAGTGATGAAGATATTGTTGAATAAAAAAAAAAAGAAAAAAATGGCACCAATTAAATTGGTTGATATTTCAACCCACTAACCATTCCAAGTACCACACACGAGTGACTTTAGAACACAGGTCGTGGTTAAACATTAACGATCACGTACACACAAATCTTCAAGAATTATTAGTTATAGTTGATCATGTATTACATTTGGTTTGTCCTCGATGTATACTCTATGTACACAGTTAAAGGTTGTATATGGGAGGCTTTCCGTCTACTTAATAGAGAACTAGACATAGATATCCTTATACGGTAAATCCTTCATGTCCAAATATGGTTAACGCCACAACGAGGCTCTTAACATGACACATGGAACCAGCGAAGCTTTTAAGTCAAAGGACGTTGGACATTTCGTGTTCAGTATTACTTGGAGCTAAAGGCGAAAGGCCGTAAGATAATTCAACGAAACTAAATTTTCGAGAAAATCAATTTCTAGACACCATGGCTGAAGATGAAGTTGCCGCACTTGTAGTGGACAATGGTTCAGGAATGTGCAAAGCGGGATTTGCAGGGGATGATGCCCCTCGTGCAGTTTTCCCGTCCATAGTAGGACGCCCCAGACATCAGGTATTTCCAATTAATTTTTTAAAAATTCTAATAATAATGATTTTACATAAAAGTTTTGATTTAATAATTATTTTATTGCAGAAAGTTTGTACAATAGGATTGGACACAAGTTTTACCAACTTATAAAGCCCTCTCCATTAATAGTTTATACACAAATACTTAAACAACCAGCAATGTAACAATATATTTATAAAATAATTTTTGATTGAAACAAAAGGGGAGGACTGAAGAGAGGGAGGGGGGTAGGTTAGGGGAGAAGAAGGGAGTATATAGTACAAAGGAGAAAAGGTGGTGAATGCAGGTAACTAGCCAGATCGCTCAGATGCATCTATAATTTTTTGAACAGCTCTAGCTAAAAGCGAGTTTTCTGCTGAACTTAGCCCTATGTCTCCGGTTAAAAGAACGTTTAATGACATATCACCTGGATTCTACGACACATAAAAGTTGTTAATATATAACCCCGTATGTTGCTTTACTAATACTCTTACTTTCAGAAAACTAAGAATTAAAAATCAGAATTTTTACATGATAAAAATTCGTCGCCTGGAAACAAGGCAGATGTAGGTAAATTTTTATAAATTGTATTTTGTGTGGTTCAAGCAATATTTTATATAAACAGATGCCAGAAAAGAGGAGAATCCGCCAACTTCCTATTGATATTTGACAATAAATGTGATTAAAACCTATTTATGATCACAGTATCACATACGGCGAAAATTTTAAAAGTCATTGTTTATTTTTCTATACGATGGACAGCTAATAAATTCAATTTTAATTTAGAAACCAATGTTATACTTTTTTCGTCGTTCAAAATATATCCAGCTTCCTTAATTTTTTCTCTCTGTGCGCAAGAAATTGTGGAATTCTATCTCATCGTTGTACCAATGTTAAAATTGTTTCAAAGGAAGATTTTGTTTCATTGTGTTTTGAAATGTGAATCTGTTTATAGTGTGTATATATAAAGTTAGAAATATTTTCAACTTTACCGAAACTTTCCCCTTTAAAATTTTCTTTTTCTTTCTCTATTTTTTCCTCTCTTTTCTCTAAAAACAGATTAATTAAAATACTTTATAACCGTTGATAGTCAAAAGCGTCGGGAGAAACATTAAAACAATTTCAAGATTTGGTCTGTCAGAGAAAGTGTTTAGCTCCTACCATTACAACGCCCACGTGTTTATCCAAAACAACATTTTCTGAATAATACGTGCTAAGTATAGGAGGTAAGAAAATCTTCAGAGGGGTAAAACTTGAATATTAAAGTTCAGAAATCTCCAGTTATGTGTAAATCTAGACAAGTTCCCGAAAATATTAGAACATTTCGTCTGGTCATTTTGTACACGATTGACACAAGTTATTGAACTTTCTCGTCAACTTTTATGATTGGTATACAAAAATAGTTTTTTATCGGGTCAAGAAACCGATCTTTTGAATTTGTATCATGAAATTAAAAGATATATAAGAAACCAAATTAAACTAAAGAGGGATATCTAGTTAACCAGATGTTGAGTTCAATTGCTAGACATTTGTCATACACATAATGAAGATGCGGTTAATGGAAAAATAACCATATATGGAAGCAAGATTGTCGCCTGAAAGAGCGGAAACGTCCGATCTGTGTAGCCTGACTCACAGGTCGGCGATGTGAGATGCTACACGTGCACAATCAACATGACTTCCTTTATTCGTTTATGATTTTTCCGAAATCAATTTGCGATTTAAAGATTAGCAGGATATTATATGAACTGTGTAATGACACCGGGACGAGACACATAAAGTGAAAACATGTTTGCATGTAAACTGTTGTCACGTTAGTGAAATTCGTACCGTCCCTTTTCCAGTATGTGCCACCATGTGCGATGGATACATACGTAACTAAGACTGATGACAGCTAGTATTAATCTACTGTAAATCATTTCGATTCAGCGAATATTTATTTTTGCGAACTTATCTCTTCAGACATATTTGCGAGTACATGATTTCGCGAACGCTGATCTAGAAGTTACTTTATATTCGCGAATGATGAGCTATCAGAGACATGGACTTTGTGAGACTCCGACATCGGTAACCGAAACAACAAGGATGCCATCCAAAAATATTTTAGTACAAATGATAGTGAGGGATTTGAGTTCGTTGATTACCTCTCCTTGCGCAGTAACGCGAAAATAAATCCCACGCGAAATATAAGTAATTAACAGTATTTAAAAATGGTAGTTAATCAAATCACGTAGTTTGATAATTCACCATGGAAACCGTGTCACTTAATTATATCGCGAGCACGGGTAAGATCATACTCAGTCAAGCTTGAGAACGTGCTGAATATCTTGAGCTCAGATTATTTTGTGAATACGAAACGAGAAAGAACTTTAGATTTTGAGCTGAAACCTTAAATGGTTTCTTCTGATCAGCCACCTTGTATGGTAACATGAATGCGTCACTATATCAAACCTAGAGAAAAGATATACTTTCGTACTGAGTATAAATCAACTGATTCAAACAGACACGGCTCCACTTAGCTTAAAGCTGACAATCCAATGTTAAAGGCTTTGATATTGAGATAAAAAAATATATATATATACTTTTTAGAATGCTTTGGAGTCTCCGCCCAGGCCCCGCCCCGCCCCGCCCCGCCCCGCCCCGCCCCGCCCCCGTCCCCGCCCCACCCCGAAGCAGAACTTCATAATCTGTTTTGAATATAAATTTTCTCAGCGTTTTGATAAACATTTTAATGAATTTTCAGGGTGTGATGGTTGGAATGGGACAGAAGGACAGCTATGTCGGTGATGAGGCCCAGAGCAAGAGAGGAATCCTCACTCTCAAGTACCCTATCGAACACGGCATCGTCACAAACTGGGACGACATGGAGAAGATCTGGCATCACACCTTCTACAACGAGCTTCGTGTGGCTCCAGAGGAGCACCCCGTCCTCCTGACAGAGGCTCCCCTCAACCCAAAGGCAAACAGGGAGAAGATGACACAGATCATGTTTGAGACCTTCAACTCTCCTGCTATGTACGTGGCTATCCAGGCTGTGTTGTCTCTGTACGCTTCCGGTCGTACCACTGGCATCGTTCTCGATTCCGGTGATGGCGTCAGCCATACTGTGCCAATCTATGAAGGATACGCTCTCCCTCACGCCATTTTGAGATTGGATCTCGCCGGACGAGATCTCACGGACTACCTTATGAAAATTTTAACGGAACGAGGATACTCATTCACAACTACAGCCGAAAGAGAAATTGTCCGAGATATTAAGGAGAAACTGGCATATGTGGCTTTGGACTTTGAGAGTGAGATGCAGACAGCATCATCTTCTTCAAGTCTGGAGAAAAGTTACGAGTTACCGGACGGTCAAGTTATCACCATTGGGAATGAGAGGTTCCGGTGCCCAGAATCCCTGTTACAGCCGTCCTTCTTAGGCATGGAGACTGTTGGAATCCACGAAACAACGTATAACAGTATAATGAAATGTGACGTCGACATTCGTAAAGATCTCTACGCAAACATAGTTCTTTCTGGCGGAAGTACGATGTACCCTGGTATCGCTGACCGGATGCAGAAGGAAGTTACAGCTCTAGCACCACCAACCATGAAAATTAAGATTATCGCTCCACCCGAGAGGAAATATTCCGTCTGGATCGGTGGATCTATCCTGGCTTCTCTTTCCACTTTCCAACAAATGTGGATCAGCAAACAGGAGTATGACGAATCCGGTCCAAGCATTGTTCATCGTAAATGTTTCTAAGCGCCTGAGTGACCGGGAGTATTTGAACGAGCGTAGTCTGGGTTACAATTTCCCAGAAGATTTGTAGAATATGAAGAATTTGTACTGTATGGATCCAGATAGGAATTCGCGGGTTTTGATGTACGAGAAATTAGTCACAAGATGTCCAATATCATTGATAATTTTCACCGGAAGTCATGTCATAGGACAAAGACGACTTTCAGTTCCTGGTTTACGTTTTCTTTGTCGAACAATACTTCAAGCATTTAAACGTCTATATAACATATATTATACATTTCCACGTGAAAATGATTCTTTTTAGAACTTGAGTTCGTTAGTTCAGCATTCAACCTAATATATTTGTGTATCTAAAATTAGATATAGAAAGTAATTTTAATGTTAGTTCAGCAAAAACAAATTAGAAAATTAGGTTAAAACCATGTTATTATAGTGCAATTAACATGTGAATTGAATAAAAGACACTGAGTTCAAACTTGAGAAAAATAGTATAATGGAATTTTTATATTTTTATAAAGAATACTCTTGATGTCGAATTAGCTGTAATTTTTACTCAATAAAGTTTTATTTTGTAACTATCATCAGTGTTGAAATTTATTTTCATTAAGCATTCAGAACGATGATTCACAAGCGGTCAGAAGTAAATATAATGTGTAAGCACTGCTTAGTTTTACCCTCAAATCGGCCTATTACACGACAGGGGGAGTGGTTAAAGCGCCTGACTGTCTGTATCACTAGTTGTCCACGTTTGTTCGAGGCCAGCGTTGGGCAGTCATAAGGTACTGGTTGCAGGTCGGTGATTTTCCCCAAGAACTCCGGCTTTCCTCCACCATGTCCTTAAATGACCCAAGCTGTTTATAGAACGTAAATCAGCACACATTATGAGGTATTATATGGATTCTTATTGGCAAGGTAGATTTACAGTAGGATTTGTTTCAAAAGTAAACAAACATTGATTAAACACTGGCGAACGAAATGCCTCAACATCCTTCCGTATTTAGACGACATAATAAAGGGAGGTAAATCTGCAGGTACTGCTATAGAAATCAGTCGTAAAGAAAAGGCTTATCTTATTTTCATAGCCCTCGTCATGCTGGATAAGTGTGTTAAGTTTCACTAAAGAGAGGTAATTTGTATATACATTGCAATGATGGTCTTGATGTTATTATTAACATATATCTTCCTCCTAACTTTCTTTGCTATGTAAATTGTTGTATATACATTGCAATGATGGTTTTGATGTTATTATTAACATATATCTTCCTCCTAACTTTCTTTGCTATGTAAATTGTTGTATATACATTGCAATGATGGTTTTGATGTTATTATTAACATATATCTTCCTCCTAACTTTCTTTGCTATGTAAATTGTTGTATATACATTGCAATGATGGTTTTGATGTTATTATTAACATATATCTTCCTCCTAACTTTCTTTGCTATGTAAATTGTTGTATATACATTGCAATGATGGACTTGATGATATTATTAACATATATCTTCCTCCTAACTTTCTTTGCTATGTAAATTGTTGTATATACATTGCAATGTGTGTGTATATCTTCCTCCTAACTTTCTGTGTGTAAATTGTTGTATATACATTGCAATGATGGTCTTGATGTTATTATGTAACATATATCTTCCTCCTAACTTTCTTTGTGTGTGTTGTATATGTGTGATGGTTTTGATGTATTATTAACATATATCTTCCTCCTAACTTTCTTTGCTATGTAAATTGTTGTATATACATTGCAATGATGGTTTTGATGTTATTATTAACATATATCTTCCTCCTAACTTTCTTTGTGTGTGTGTATATGTTGCAATGATGTGTGTGTAACATATATCTTCCTCCTAACTTTCTTTGTGTGTGTGAATGATGTGTAACATATAGTGAATGTGTGAGTGAATGATGGTTTTGATGAACTTTCTTTGCTATGTAAATTGTTATTTATTCTTTGTATGATATGGCAGTTATATCAAATATCAAAGTGTGTATACTTCAGTTTGTCTATACCACGGTATGACATCTGACATTTGTGTCTCACAATGTATGTGAAAATCAGATAGATTGTGACAGGTCAGTAAAATGTATGAATGTAAATCTGCAGGAAAATGTGTGGATGAATGTGTGTGTGAATATGGGAGTGAATGTGTGAGTGAATGTGTGTGTGAATGTGTGGGTAAATGTGTATGTGAATATGGGAGTGAATGTGTGAGTGAATGTGTGTGTGAATGTGTGAGTGAATGTGTGTGTGAATGTGTGTGTGAATGTGTGAGTGAATGTGTGTGTGAATGTGTGAGTGAATGTGTGTGTGAATGTGTGAGTGAATGTGTGTGTGAATGTGTGTGTGAATGTGTGAGTGAATGTGTGAGTGAATGAGTGGATGAATGTGTGAGTGAATGAATGAGTGAATGTGTAAGTGAATGTGTGAGTGAATGTGTGAGTGAATGTGTGGGTGTGAATGAATGAGTGAATGTGTGAGTGAATGTGTGAGTGAATGAGTGGGTGAATGTGTGAGTGAATGTGTGAGTGAATGTGTGAGTGAATGAGTGAGTGAATGTGTGGGTGAATGAGTGAGTGAATGTGTGAGTGAATATGTGGGTGTGAATGAATGAGTGAATGTGTGAGTGAATGTGTGAGTGAATGAGTGGGTGAATGTGTGAGTGAATGTGTGAGTGAATGAGTGAGTGAATGTGTGAGTGAATGAGAGGGTGTATGTGTGAGTGAATGTGTGAGTGAATGAGTGGGTGAATGTGTGAGTGAATGTGTGAGTGAATGTGTGAGTAAATGAGTGAGTGAATGTGTGAGTGAATGTGTGAGTGAATGTATGAGTGAATGTGTGAGTGAATTTGTGGGTGAATGTGTGAGTGAATGTGTGGGTTAAATTGTGAGTAATCGTGTTAGTGAATGAGTGGGTGAATGTGTGAGTGAATGTGTGTGTGTGTGTGTGTGTGTGTGTGTGAATATATGAGTGAATGTGTGAGTGAATGTGTGAGTAATTGTGTGAGTGAATGTTTGGGTGAATATGTGAGTGAATGAGTGGGTGAATGTGTGAGTGAATGTGTGAGTGAATGTGTGAGTGAATGTGTGAGTAATTGTGTGAGTGAATGTTTGGGTGAATATGTGAGTGAATGTGTGGGTGAATGTGTGAGAGAATGTATGAGTGAATGTGTGGGTGAAGGAGAATCAATTTTGTATAAACGGTGGGTCTCGGCCTCCTGGATTATGGCGTGGCCACTGTTCACCAGTGGCTAAGCTAACCTCGAGAAGTTAATGGGCAGGGTCGATAAGGGTCAAATTGACTATCATCATTTCATTACCTAGATATGATAGAATCAAATACTCCTCATGAAACGAACGGTCAGAACAGGTGAGCGATTTGTGTTCTTTGGCCTCTTGTCAGGTATAGTAAAGGGATGCCTCCCAATGACAGCCTGCATGCCATGTTCATAGTGCATATATCACATTTAGTACTTCATGAATTTGGTGATCATTTGATATTTTTTCCATGAAAAACTTGGAATGGCACTAACGAAACTTATAACATCCAACAAGCAGAAATAAAGAAAAAGAAATTATGGCTGGATTGGCCCATTACCTGTTTTCTCAGTTGGTGCCAGGCAAGGAGTACAAGGTTAATCCATATACAACTTCTAACAGAATGTGGCTGTGGCTGTAACGCCAAGATTTATGCATTAATATTATGCATCAATATTTCAATAGCTTAGTCCGTAAGTGTAGTATAAATCTGTTTTTCTACAAATTAATGAACATATTTATCGGTAACTGTAATTAAGCACAATGAAAAGTCAACTGATATCCATTAGATTTTAAGCCTAATGTCATCCGATGGTTCGAATCTGCCTTTCTCAATTACCTCTCTGTCCAATCCTTGACCCTGTTTAAAGGTCATGGGGGTCAAATGTATTGAAAACAACTTCTTCGCAATAGCCATATATTGTTTGATCACATGAATGACCTTGACAAATAACTTCTAACAACTCCATTTCGTCACGAAATCTGTAGAATATCCTCTGTGTATGTACCAAAGGAAGACTGACATTACCTAGAGACATGACTCACTCACAATTTGGTGAAAATACCGATTGTTTTGACGGACTTTCACTTGTAAAAATACCTGTTGTTTTGACGGACTTTCACTGGTGAAAATACCTGTTGTTTTGACGGACTTTCACTGGTGAAAATACCTGTTGTTTTGATGGACTTTCACTGGTGAAAATACCTGTTGTTTTGACGGACTTTCACTGGTGAAATACCTGTTGTTTTGACGGACTTTCACTGGTGAAAATACCTGTTGTTTTTACGGACTTTCACTGGTGAAAATACCTGTTGTTTTGACGGACTTTCACTGGTGAAAATACCTGTTGTTTTGACGGACTTTCACTGGTGAAATACCTGTTGTTTTGACGGACTTTCACTGGTGAAAATACCTGTTGTTTTGACGGACTTTCACTGGTGAAAATACCTGTTGTTTTGACGGACTTTCACTGGTGAAATACCTGTTGTTTTGACGGACTTTCACTGGTGAAAATACCTGTTGTTTTGACGGACTTTCACTGGTGAAAATACCTGTTGTTTTGACGGACTTTCACTGGTGAAAATACCTGTTGTTTTGACGGACTTTCACTGGTGAAAAGAATTGATCTTCCTCTTCTGCTTCTTCATTAAGATCATGGTTCATTGTCAAAAATTAAGTACATGACCTCCATGACGTCATCACTCGATCAGTACAGCATTATGCCATTATACCATTTGTAGATAATCTTTGGACTAACTCTAGTAAAGTTTCACTTTAAAAGCAATTTTATTTCTTGTTCATTTATGAGTGAATGACTAATAATCTGTGTTGTTTACTTGGATGCATACCTGTATTGTCGTCCAGGTAGGGCGATCTATTTTTAGCGACTGCTCCCTGTGCAGCCGACCCGGATATACATAGCTATTCTATACAAAGAGTATAAATACATTGGTTGTGATGTCTTTCCTAATGCTGGCATAATGTCTACGTTTGTGTAGTGGAATACATTGTATCGTGTGTTAGAGACAGTGAGGCAAGGGACCACTAAGCCTTACGACGTGCAGACGTGTTTATGACAGTCTGCTCTTATTCACAATGTACTCGGTGCATTGTAGAGATTCTGTCTTTATCCCTATATATACACTTGTAAATATAAATTTATTGCTGTATACAGCTTTTAAAGTACACATATTAGTCTCCTCGTCCTTTTTACCATTTATTTCGAATTTATTTATCAAATAGCATGAGCTCACTGCGCGAGCTCCAAACAAATGATTGTGGACAACGCTATTTGTCACATTATTGTAAAAAAGGTCTAATAAAAAAACCTTGCTGTTGTGTTGAAGATAAGTTAATATTATTTTGGAAAACTCTTGCAGCAGTCGATACAGGATGAAAATGAAATGAATAAGATGCCTTTGTTTTTTATTGTTCTGTTACATTTTA